CATGCCCATGACTGCAGCTAGCAGCTCTAGTCTCGGAATCGATATGGCTGCAAGCGGGGCTACACGGGCTCTACTAGCGATGAGAGCAGTAGACACATGGCCATCATCATACACACAACGAAGATAGCCGACCGCACCATAAGCGGTTTCTGAGGCGTCGGTGAACACATGGATTTGCCTGCTGGTAGGGCTGCCTGCCTCGACTGCCTGCAAACAGCGTGGGATCGAGAGGTGAGATAGCTCGGCTAGGTCTGCGTACCAACCCGTAACCCGCTGGCTTAGGACATCCGGAAGCGGTTCATCCCAATCCAACGCCAGAAGCCACATGTCTTGAATCAGCTGCCGAGCGCTCACTACATAGGGGCCTACGAATCCAAGCGGGTCAAATACGCTTGCCGTTGCGCTCAGGAACGATCGCTTGGTGACTTGTTTCGACAGGTCTGGTACGTTCGGCTTGAACGTAAAGCTATCTGTTGCGGCCGACCAGAGCAGTCCCAGCGTCTTGACACTTGGCAGCTCTGGGCAGCTCACGTCGATCTGGCTGGCACGATCTTGCTGAGGCACTTTCTCCATGACCACCTTTGAGTTGGAGAGCCATTTTCTGGCATGCATTCCGGCTTCTTTCCAGCACGCTGACAGCTGCTCATACATTTCCACACCTTCGTTGGGATCTGTGGCCGAGTCCATGGAGTCGTCCATGTACGTTGAGTGCAGCATAGTTTCCGCTGCTAATGGGTACTTGTGGCGGTGTGTTCGGGCATGTTCTTGATAGACGAACTGAGCCAAGAACGGCGAGGCGTTGGCGCCGAACACGAGTCTTTCGAATTCGTACACACGCGGCTCAGCTGTTGGCTCCATGCCTCGCCACAGGAATCGGTGGTAGGGACGGTCCTCTGGACTGAGATGAACCTGAAGGTACATCTCGGCGATATCGCAGATGATTCCTACTGGTTTGTGCCGGAAGCGGGTCAGCACGTTCGGCAGCTGGCGTTGCAGTTTCGGCCCTGGCAGCATGGTGTCGTTGAGTGCAATGCCTTTGCACTTTGCTGATGCATCAAAGACCATCCGGGTCTTCGTCGTAGCTTTATCCGGTCTCAGGACTGCGAAGTGCGGCAGGAACCATTGTTGACCATGCTTGAGCTCGCTGCTACTGACCTCTCGCACGTACCCTTTCTTGACGTAATCCAGTACGATGTTGCTATAAGCTGTAGCTGCTGCTGCATCCTGGCTCGGGCGTCGTTCCGTGCTTTGCAGACGCTTCAGTGCAGCCGCGAAATTGTCAGGTAGTGTTGGCCGACCAGCACGCCATGGGATGCCGACCTGGTACCGTCCATCGGCGATCCACTGCATGGACTCTCTGGCAGCCTGCATCGCTTCCTTCTCCTCCACAGAAAGAGTGGGCTGCTGCGGTTGAGCCTGGCCAAACTCTTCAATGGCCCATAGCCGCGCAATACTTTCCCGAACGTCATGTGGCGCAGCCCGTGTAAGACAGGTTACCGGGTCTGCCTTGACCTTGCCAATCCTGCCGACGCAGGTCCATCCAAGGGGGGTCAGGCGAGCAATCGGCTCTCCAGGTTGCCCATGGACTGCTCGTATGGCTGCTTGAAGCTGTACTGCATCAAGGCCGAGTAACACATCTACCTGTCGACGGTTCGGCAGTGCTGGGAATGGAATGTTGCGGAGGTGTGCCCAATCACGGCGCTTGTGCACCCAATCCACTGCATTGTCACTGCCGAGGATTGAGTCGGTTGTGAATGCGTCCAGCGTCGCCGATGTCTCTCCGTCCACACTGCAGAGCTGAACCGTCACATGTGTTGTTGAGAACACCTCAGTACGACCGCTGAGCACTTTCACCGGCAGGTGTTGTCTTTCTCCTGTTAGACCAAGCTCACATGCCACATGCGAACTTACGTATGAGTCCGTGCTTGCATCGTCCAGCAGTGCATTAACAAGCACTTCTTTCCCACCAGACCTGAGTTTCACTGGCACCGTTCTCATGGACACGGCGATGAGCTTGGACGCTTTGGAAGCTGTTGATAATGCCTTGCTGTCATCTGTAGTCTGACACGTGACTAGGGACATCGCTGGTTCCGACTGCCTGCTGTTGCTTGTTGTTCGTGAACGCTGCTGTTTGCCCTCTGCTGATGTTGCGAGCGTCTGGCGTACCGTAGGCTTGCTGTCTTCGGATGCTGTGTCAGTGCCCGAGGCTGACGACGTCTTCTCCGCGTTATGCAGCAGCCGATGGTGACTTTTGCTGCAACCACTTATGCCACACGCGTCCCCCCAAGTGCATTCTTGCCCACGGTGTCCAGCGCCCAGGCACCGAAAGCACAGGTTGCTGGCCTTGGCAATGCGCCATCGTTCATCTAGCGTGGCCGACTTAAATACCAGGCACCTCCAGACTGGGTGTTGGCTTTGGCAGGCTGGGCACTTGCTTGGAGATGACTTGTTGCGAGTACCGGTAAGCAGCGTTCTTGCACGATGATCCTGCGAGCTGCGGGGCTGGTCTGCTTTCGCCGCTGTGTTGAAACCTGATACCGTCTCTGCCGCCGTCACCAGGAGCTCGGCTTCCAGGGTAACAAATTCCAACAGGCACTCTACACTCTCTGATCTATTATGGTCATATCGCCAGCGATGATAGCGCGCTATGATCCGTTCATCCAGCTTCTTCATCAGGGAGTGATAGAGCGTGCCGACCAACAGCTCCGCATGTCGTCCTGCCTCCTTGAGCTGGACAGTTGCTACCATCAGCAACTCAGCGAACTGCTGCAGCTCCGGTGGCTTTCCTTCTCGGATTGGCCGCATTTCCTCAATCTCCTCAAGCTGGATTGCCAGACGACGACGCTCGCCGCCATACTTCCTTGTGAGCATGTCCTTGGCAGCTTCATAGGACGCAGCAGTGTACCCGAGACTCTTGATAGTCCGCAGTGGCTCGCCACTCAGATATTGCCGCAGCCTGAGCATCTTGCACTCTGGTGACACTGGAGATTTGTCCACGCACGCTGAGAACGCAGCCCACCAGGCCTCGAAACTACGTTTATCGCCTGCAAATGTGGGGATCTCAATGCGCTGCATGTGTGTCCAAGGACTGGTTGCGCCACCTGGCCAGGCTTTACTGGCAGCAGGCAGTGCAGATGGTGCAGATGGCACATACACACTTGCCCCTGCATTCATTCTGCTGCTACTGAATGCAGGCTGGCTGCTGGCCACAGCTTGACTGGTGGATGGCTGCCTGGTAGTACCACTCCTGGGTGCAGCCAGTGAGGCAAGTGGTCTAGTCATGCTAGTGCCAGTAGTCAAGGTAGTGGCTGCAGTGAGGCTGCTGCTACCTGTGATGCCATTGATGGTTGTCACTGGTGCTGAGGTAGGCAGTACAGTGTCATGTACAGACTGAACAGGGCTGGCGCTCACACTTGACAGTGACAGATCACTGATGCTGGTGTACGACATTGCACTAGCTCTACCTGTATAGGCGTCAAGTGTCCTACCGACCTGAGTGCTTGTACTTACAGGAACAATGGTTTTGCTGCCGACAGTCTCTGTCGGGTTCCCACGCTGACTCCCAGACAGTGTGTGTACTGTGTCCTCATGAGGAGACGAGATGATGTCCGTTCGGCCTTGTGACGGTGACTGCGGATGGGCTTCGCTCAGTTTGTTGACATCGATCTTGGCCTGCGCTCGGTCCATGGCCGCCGAAAATTGAGTCTCCAGTGCTTCCAACTCACTTGCCAGTTTATTCCGCTGGCGAACGTCTTGGCAGCTGCCGATCATGTCTGCCAACAAACTAGTAGCTCCATCGTACAGTGCCGTCAGGCCTTCCAGATGTTGCGAGATCCCTTCGATGTCGCATGGACCATCGGCATTTAGCTGCACTAGCAAGCCTCGTCTCGCTCTCGTGAACTGCCCTTTGATGGCGGCCTTTCTCACTCTCAGTTCGCTCTCCACTTGCGCTGAGTTTAGGCCCGCTCCATGATCCCCAGCTGCTTCCTCTCGCTCTGGAGTTGAGGAGCGACGACGGCCCGAATTTGGCCTTTCTTCATAGTCGTCCTCCAATTCTCCAGCACTCGGCTCCGCAGCATACTCCAAGGTCGTGGGTTCCGACGATGCCATTATCCGCACCCTATTCCAGGTTCGAGACGCACTGCTACAAATCGCAACGCGAACACTATCACAATCAATCTGCTGAGCTAATTCCTTTTAGTAACCATCCTCTGCTACCAATTTTCTGTTACTAAGAAAAGCTCACTAAAGGGAACGCACACTCACACAGTGACACATTCCACATTCGTGCACAACGGAAAGCGATTCGAAGAAACAATAACCTTGAACTTTCTACATGAACTCCGAAAAGCAACTGTTCACACCAACTAGTCTAAAACACTACTAAAAGTCCAACAACCAGGAACTAAACAAAAGCAGCGCAGCACAGCGCGGCGCAAGCTCCGGTGCATGCATCCGGGAACTCGCGAGACAGAAGCATGCACGTGACCGCTCAGGTCTACAGTCAATGCTACCATGAATGCAAGCATACTAGAAGCCGATGCGTAGCAGTACAGCACAACCATGCATGTGACATATAGTCGTTGGTTCAGACCTCGGGATCTTCTGAACAGTTATCTTTTCCTCTAGCCCGCTCGCTTAGGATGAGCTTTCTTTTTTCTGGCAACTTTAGCGAAGGCTATATACCTGCTTTATGGAGGTTGATGCCAATTAAGCAAAATAATGAATAATAATAATGCAATACTTTTGATGTGACTCTTTGCAGCCTTCATGATGTGATCTGCTCATCTCTACCCATAGTTTACCATGAGTTGCCATGGTTTGTTATGTGTTGCCATGGTGTGTTATGTGTTGCCATGGTGTGTTATGTGTTGCCATGGTGTGTTATGTGTTGCCATGGCGTGTTATGTGTTGCCATGGTGTGTTATGTGTTGCCATGGTATGTTATGTGTTGCCATGGTGTGTTATGTGTTATGGTGTTATGTGTTGTTATGGAGTAGGTGGTGATCATGAATGGAGGCAGAAAACGCCTGGTGGGGCTTGCAATTTATTTACGCCGTGACCGGCCAATCCTATCTAGCATTGTCGGAGAGCAGGTAAGCCTCTGTCAAAACCATGCACTCATCCTCCATTTTACATTTGTGTTCTCTGGGGCGGACTGGCTTCCTATTACAATGTACAGTTGCGAAGTAGGGACGGCGCATACCCACGGGCCGCAGTTCAGGAATCCTAAACCAATGTCTAGTAGCCAGCAGTTATACAGCATAGTATGCACAGCGCAATGGCAAGCCTTTTGCTGGGAAATGCATGGCACTTTCAGAAAATGTATTTGTACTCCTTGCATGGAGTGAGACATGGAGTGAGACATGGAGTGAGACATGGAGTGAGACATGGAGTGAGACATGGAGTGAGACATGGAGTGAGACATGGAGTGAGACATGGAGTGAGACATGGAGTGAGACATGGAGTGAGACATGGAGTGAGACATGGAGTGAGACATGGAGTGAGACATGGAGTGAGACATGGAGTGAGACATGGAGTGAGACATGGAGTGAGACATGGAGTGAGACATGGAGTGAGACATGGAGCGAGACATGGAGTGAGACATCACGAGTCATGAGTCACGACAGAGAAGAGAGAAGAGAGAAGAGTGGGGTTGACATTCCCAAACACAAGCCACGTCATATAATGGCCGGCAGGCAAACATGGCAGACTTGTCATACGAGTCGTAACATATCGACTGGCACAAAACCAGCACAGTGCTATGGTTGAAGACTTCAAGTTTACACCCTTCCTCCTGTTGAGTCACCGGGTCACATGGTCATCTCACTCACGGCTGAGTACACGTCTGCGACTCTGAGCCCGCTGTCCATGCATACTCCGGTTTTGCTCAGCGCCATGCCTGCATGTCATGGAGTGTTCATATCATCCGGTGTACCATGCCATGCCTGGATGTCATGCAGTGTTCATCATCCGGTGCACCAACTCAAACTGAGTAACGTTTTCTACGCTCCGTTGCTATGGAAGGAGACTGACGCTCGAAGTTGCCATTTGGAGCGCCAGAACTGAACTTGGTTGCTGTCGTAGCATCCAGACTGAAAGCATGGATGGTCGGCAGCAATGCCACGGATGTCAATACAAGACTTCTCACCTCCATGATGTTGTCTGTAGGCACGGCCACAAACAAACGAGCACTGAAAGATCTTAAGCCTCCCTCAATCTGTATGACTAGGTATGAAGTACCGGCTGTGTGCAGCCTGGTCGAATTTCACTCTATTGCTGTGAAAGGAAACTTTCCCTCCGAAATTGCCATTCAGCGTACCAGAACTGAACCTCTTTGCTGTCGTGGCATCCAGGCTGAAACCATTGCGGGTTGCAAGCAATGCCAAGAACACCAACACAAGACTTCTGATCTCCATGATGTTGCCTGCAGGCACAGCGACAGCGAACAAACACCAAAAAACGGGCACTGAAGGGTCCGAAGCCTCCCTCAATCTGTATGACTAGGTATGAGGTACCGGCTGTGTGCAGCCTGGTCGAATTTCACTCATCGTACACATGGCTATGGTTGGTACTTACACGTGGGTAGTATGTGTGTCGGTTGCTCGTGTACACCGTCTTGGTTGCATGATTGTGCTGCCTAATCCACACCACTGGCGTGTTAGCAACCTCGGAACGCAGCCGTGCTTCAACTTGTTAGGCAGTCGAACCCGTCTCCTTGCAAAGTGACTATGCCCCGAGAGCATGCACGGCCCCTTTGCAAAGTGACTATTGGCCGGGAGATGCACAACTCACTATTGGCGTAGTGCAGCAGTGGCAATAATATTAACTTCACCAGCTCTCTAGTGAGACTTTAGCCCTCTTCCACCTCGGCCCTCTTCCACCTCGGCGGCAAGGACAGAAATACGGAAGTACTATAGGCCACTGAGACTATGTGCAGATCAAACTTCTTTCTTTACATATAAGTTTCCGTGCATGGCACGGTAAGTGAAGTTAGCAACCCACCAACAATTACATTCCTAACATAATTTGCACGTACTTGCCATAGCGCATCACGTGCCCGTGCAGAACACGCACTCCGAACTCCCGCGCTCCGGCACGGGACCACGCGGAGCATACGCATTACTCCGGCTCTCGATGCTGTTTCTTCATCCTTGCTGCACCAACAGTCAGATCGCTTGACAACCTTGGCCAGTTTTTGAACAATCTGAGAGAAAGTTTCACGTATCCTTAACATACTTTGAAGGATATGCAAAGTTTTTCCTAAATATGGGCAACACAGAACTAATAACTTTTGGATAATAGCTAACTCGGATGGAGAGCCAAGGATTAAAAAGGAGAGGACCGAAGATCTGAACTTGTAAACCTTCGGTCCTCTCTTTTTAAAGCTTTGAATAAAGTGACATCTGCGCTCATCTCGCAAACTATTGCTACTTTGTTTTGTGACTTGAGCGCGGTTATCATTTTATTCGTAGCCACTTGATGTTCTTGGGCAGCATAGTGCAATTAGTCTAAAGCAACCTTGGAGCATGGGAGCACTGCTGTCATAGACATGGAAATCCGGTCGGAGGTCAAGCAGCCCCAGAGCGCTGGCCATGCAGCCATGAGTACGCATGCGATCAACATGTGCACTGCGCGCAGCGTTCTGCATGCACTGAGGGTGCCGGCCCCAGTCCTTCGACCGGATTTCCATGTCCGCGACAGTACAGTCAACTTCGCTAATAACGACTGCGGATATAACGACAATTCGCGAATAACGACAGAATTTCCATGCCCAGAGCAAAGTCCCATCCAACTGAAATACATACAATGAGACTTCGGGTATAACGACACTTCGCGAATAAGGACACTTTTCTGATGCCCCGCCGAGTGTCGTTATAAGCGAAGTTGACTGTACATAAACTCGTGGTGGCGTTAGCTGTGGCATGCAGCACTGACATAACGGGTAGTTCTACATATTGACTGACCCAATGTGGGACCTCTGGGATAAGCATTCTTGGAGATCTTTACCTAGGCAATGTGCTTTGGTGCTATATTTGTGCCCGGGATGACGTGAGCACCTTTAAGGTCTTTGGAAATCCTTCATCGAGCGGGTCTTTTCTATTCCTGTGGAAACTTGGGATGCGCTTGGAAAGGTTCAAAGAACCGTAGTATGGGGGTAGATCCAGTCCTAATGATCACCAATGAGAAGTTACTCACTCCCAAATGGTCCTGACCTCACCGTACATAACCGCTCACTCCTGAATGGTCCTGACCTGACCGTGCATACCTGTACTTGACACTGTCTGATAACACAGAAGCTCCAGGTGCTTGGTAAGTTTCCCTTTGTTGACCTCATATACTTCTGACAAGATTGCAAGCTCATGCATACACACATTGAACCATGAAAAGGCCAACATGTGACCCGCATCTACAACGAATACATACTTTTTTTACTTGTCACTGCGGCTTGGTTGATTTTCAGTTTGGAGAATTCTTCGGCTGCTCCTGCATTTCGGTGGACTCCAATAATGATGGGTGAGAAGTGTATCACTGCTATCCAATGCTTATGGCTTATGGCTCCTTCGGCCTTAAAGGCCTCGCTGCTATCCATGTGCGACTCTTGTGGGTGATTTCATGCATCACCATGCGTAGAATGACCATGATATGGCATACCTTGGTACCAACACTGCAAACCAACTGCTATTACTCAGCACTGCAGGGCTTATGTTGAAGTTGGTATGTGTGCGAGCAACATCCTTGTAGTAAACTGCAGAACAGGTAGTAATAGTAGTAGCCTGTTTCCACGGAGACACTGCAACCGTAGCAACAGCAGCATTATACATTTAAGCTGTGCACTGAGCCCAGGCCGGATTAGTATGGATATGCAATCAACTGGTCACGGGGAGCAGTGCTAGGCTGGACAAGTGTCAAAGCAGAGATCAGAGACTGTTCATTCTTCCAAGATGTCACATCATGCGGTTCTCTTGGAGCAGTTGTCCCATACGTACCTATACTGAGACTATCGAGAGATAGAGATAGGGACCAATGGGGCACAGGGGCCATGAAGACAGTCGTGAAATGGCTTAGTCTTACCGTACTAATAAACTGAACGGTGCCATGCAGCACAACAAACTCTCGATAGTGAATTGAATGTGTTACATTTACAATTTCAGGTGATGTGGATGTATACGTGGGTGTATACGTGGGTGTATACGTGGGTGTATACGTGGATGTATACGTGGGTGTATACGTGGGTGTATACGTGGATGTATACGTGGGTGTATACGTGGGTGTATACGTGCGTGTATACGTGCGTGTATACGTGGGTGTATACGTGGGTGTGTTATGTGCAGAATTTCTGAGCTGTTAGTGGGTGCGCCATACTGGGTGGATACTGCCAGAGCTGGGGAGAGCAACGCGTATGACTTCGGACGCGTCTATTTCTATTCGTCGAACTTGACTAAGGTAATGGCAACGGTCCCTACTCCAACTGTGATTTTTGGAAGCCATGCTTGTACAATGGCACTGAAAATATGGACTTGTGCAATCAGCATCACTCTATTCTGTTTAAGAGAGCATGACTGAGAATACCAAAGTATGTGTGCTAGTCGATCTCTCCGATTTCGGTCAAAATTTGCAGGTAGGTTCCCTTTGGGGTGTAGATCCATTGTGCAAAGCCCTTGAAAAAGTTTCTGAAGGGAACCTTGAAACTTGCATACCCCTCAAAAATGGCCGAAATGTCACAGTATTAAATTTTATGGGTCTACAAACGAGTCACGCCACAGCGTATACGAACAAGCTACGAACAAAACTCCATCAAGCCAACATTGCCCCACATTTTTTGGCCAACAAGGCACTTTGTAGCTCTTTCATTGCTTTTTTGGATGAAGTGGCCGGATCATCCTGGAAGAAAAATGGCACGACCATGGTCATAACTGGTCGTACCGTGTGGGACGCCCCTGATTTTGTTAGCTGCTCCCGGCTAATGATGCCCCCTCACACCGGAACACAAGGGGTTTTATATGATTGGATAATTTATAGAAGTATTCGAGAAGAGTGTAGACAAGGAGAACAGGACAACGACAACTCAAGACTAGACTAGACTACAACAGAACAGAACCTGGAGCATGCGCTCTTCTATGTGAGTGGCTCATTGCCAAGGGGAACGAGCGGGAAATACGAATGGTGAGTATTCAGGTCGTAGCATACATACACCTATTACACTGTGCCCCCCTAGCTAAAATTCACGTCCACGGGAATGAACGAAATACCTAGGAAACAAACAAAAGAAAACAAACCAAATAATAAACTCAGTCCAGGACATAGTCAGCTAGTCGAGCAGGTGCAGTGCGAACACGGCCAGAACGACGAGAAACAGGAGAAGAAGTACGGACCGGATCAGACGACGGCGGCTGTAGCGGCGGAAAATCATCATCGGACAGCGTAATCGGGTCAGGACGAGAAGCAGTAACGGCAGGCGGTTGACAGTCGGGAGGACGGGAAACGGCTTCAGGCGGACGAACAAACTTGCCACTGGCAGCATCATATCTGGTGAAACACTCAGACAGAGCAGGATCAGCATACGGAGCAAGAAGACTCTGAGGCTTGTAACAATCCGGCAACGGTCCAGCGGCAGAGGCACCAGGAGGACGAACAAAAACGGCCGGAGGAAGAATCTCGGCAGCCGGAGGAACATCAGCAGCAAGTGGCATTTCATCAGCAGCTGACAACGGAACATCACGGGCAAGAGGCGGCGGACTCGGCGGAGGAGACGGGGCAGCATCTTGCGGCGGCGTTGGTGCCAGTGGCGGAGACTCACTGTGCACATGTGCTTCAGGTTCGGCTAGCAAGCGCGACAGACCATCAGCATTCAGATGTTGGCGACCTGGACGGTGGACGACTCGGAATTCATATTCGGATAAACAGTCAAGCCAACGTGCTTTCCGTCCGCGGGGTTCCTTCAGGTTCCGGAGTGCAGTCAACGCAGTATTGTCCGTCCTGGCAACAAATGGTCGTGACAACAAGTAGTGCCTGAAATACTCCGCAAAATAGACCAGAGCAAGGGCCTCACGATCGCTAGCATCGTAGTTGCGCTCAGCTTTCGTCAGTACACGACTGCCGTACCCAATTGGTCGCTCAGTTCCATCCTGGATCTGGCTGAGGACTGCACCAATCGACACATTGCTCGCATCGGTGTCCAGAATGAATGCACCTGCTGAAGCTTCAAACTGGGGGTACGCCATCACCGGCGCACTGGCAAGCGAACGCTTCAGAGCCTGGAACGCCGCTTCGCAAGCTTTCGACCACGCAAAGCGAGCATTCTTGCCTGTCAGAGCAGTCAGCGGAGCAGCACGCTGGGCGAACCCACGGATGAAGCGGCGATAATATCCAGCGAAGCCAAGGAACTCGCGGACAGCTGTGACAGATTTCGGAGTCTTCCAGTTCCTGACCGCGACGAGTTTGGCCTCATTCGGGGAGATGCCCTCCGCTGACACGCGGTGTCCTAGGAAAGTGACCTCCTCCTGGAAGAAGGAGCATTTCTTCAGATTGAACCGCAGGCCAGCGGACCGAACTCGCGCGAACACGGGCAGCAGAATCTGGAGTTGGCCAGACAGTGTTTCGCTGGCATTCAGGACATCATCAAAGAACACACGGCAGAATGGCTGGGCCGGTGTGTTACATAAGCCACTCAGGACTGCTTCCATTACGCGCTGAAATGTCGCTGGGCCATTCCTGCAGCCCATCGGCAGAACATTAAACTCAAACAAGCCCAGTGGCGTGGTAAATGCCGTCTTAGCCTTGTCGCTTCCTTCCATTGCTATTTGCCAGTACCCTGACGCTAAGTCAAGGGACGTGAAATACCGACAGCCAGACAGGGAATCAAGCATGTCATCCGCCCGGGGAATCGGGTAAGCATCAGGCTCGGTGACAGAGTTCAACTTCCTGTAGTCGATACAGAGTCGAAGAGAGCCATCCTTCTTTGGCACCAATACTATGGGTGATGCCCACGGACTAATCGATTCTTGTATTATGCCTTGCTTTAACAGCGTATTCAGTAGATCTTGCAGAGCCTTCCGGCGGTGATATGGAATCCGCCTGGTAGGTTGTTTTATAGGGTTATTTTGTCCTGTGTTAATTTTATGAGGGAATATGTCACAGTAGCCATAGTCATCATCATGCAAGATAAATAAATCGTGGTTATCATGAAGTAGTTCAGTGAGCGTGCGAGACTGTTCTGTGGAGAGATGATTTTGTGCGTTGATATATTCATCGATGACTTTCTTGCGTTGCTCAGTTAGCGGGATCGGGTCGGGTGAAACTGAGGAAACCATAGCTTCAGTGTCGTCAATATGTTCACAATCTGTAGGAATTTGATGAAGTTCGGCAACATTGGTATTTTTATGAATGAGTATAGGATGATTTGCATGATTTTCAACAGCCACAACCACACGTGTTTGGTTAGGGCCAACAGTTACAAGACTAGGAGTCACTGCCACATCTGGATGCTTCGCCATAAAGGACTCCAATGGATCTGCCACGCAATCCATCGCAACCGTGCACACATCAACAGCTGCACAAGGCACCAAGACAACATGTCCTGCAGGTACCGACAACTCCATCTCAAACACCACACGAGATGAGTATACCACAGGGTCAGCCACACTCTCGGGCGCACACGCCGGGACAACGCCAGGTTGAGCCATGGGTTCAACAACCCGTGCAGACAATGAATCGTCAAGGGCAACACGAGAAGAATACGACGAAACAGGTACATCGTCGGAGCATGCATCAGAATGAGGAGTATGAGTATTACATGAGGGGGAAGTAGTACGCGGAACAATACGATCATAGGGCGTACGTGACGGAGGACACCCAGAACCAGAAACATGCAACGGAACAGACACATCGCCAAACATCACAACACCACGAGCAATATCTAATACACCACCATGCTGCAACAAAAAATCGGAACCAAGAATCATGTCACAGTGAATACCAGGAGACACAACAACCGTGTGCTGGAAAGACAGATTTCCTAGCGACATACACAGATCCATGGATCCAACGACAGGAAGTTGTGCGCCATTGACTGCACACAACCGCGGAGCAGACTCTAGAGGAGGTCGCTCTGTCAAATTAGGCAACAATTTAGAATGCACTAACGACACACTTGAACCAGAATCAACAAGAGCAACAACAGGAGACGAAGACGAAGACGAAAGACAAACATCAACGTGCACAATAATGGGTGAGATCGCACCACATACCTCCTCGAGGGGCTCCACTCGGACGACTGACGGCGGCCCCGTGTCACCAGTCCAACCTAGTTTTTTGCGTGCGGGCAAGATGCAATGAAGTGGCCCTCTTCACCACATCCATGGCACACTCCACGGACAGGCCTCGCAAAACTCTGGCCACGACCACGACTAGGCGCACCAGCACCAGCACCACGAGCAACAAAACGTACATGGTCTTGCTGGGGTCGGGTGGGGCGATACAGACTCACGCTCTCCATTTTCGCCTCCAAAGCAGAGAGACGCGAATCAAAACTCGACAAAAGCGAAGCCAACTGGTCTCGCTCAGATTCCGACTTCAGTGGACCGACTGCTGCGTAGGGGTCACGACCATGAGCAGTGCGACGGGGCTTCACTTCCGGAGCAGCAGCAAATACGGGCTGCGCATACTGGTAAGGTACGGTGCGGGCCTGCTCGCGAGCATAAATAGCACCTACCTCGATGGCCTTTTGGACCGCCGCATCCAAATCAGTGGGCCGAGGTGACGCCAACGCCAAGCGCAAATCCTTCGATGCCTGGCCATCAATAAAAAGTTGCAAAAGCATTGAATCAAGCAGTGCACCTTGTTGTCCTGGGTAGGCTCGACGAGCGAGCCGACGAAGTTCCGTGGCATACCCGTGCTGAGTTTCACTCGCCAGCTTCACTCGCTGGCGAAGACTGGCCTCGTGCATCAATGCTTGCTGGGGCGGCTCAAGACGGACATGCAGAGCCTCGACTGTGTCGGAAAAGTTCATGTCAGGCGTGTGAGTTAGAATTTCGGTGAACATCTCATGAGCGGTACCAACAAGGCGAGCAGGTAGTAGCCGTAGCTTTTGGTCGTCGTCGTACCCACTCAACTCGCATGTGTGGACGAAATGCCTCATGTACGTGGTGAAATCTTGGCCTGGCTGATTTCCGAATGTCTCAGGAAGCAAAACTGGCTTCGGCAGTGGACGTGCATGTGGTGTGTCTGTGTCCGGCAAACGAAAATGATGGGACAACCCTTGTACCGGCGAACTCTCGCGCTCTTCAGCAATGTTCATGTCACAGCCAGCTTCAGCGAAGCTACGCTCTAGCTTTTCTTGTCTCTTGGATTTCGCTGAACGGCCCATTGTGAAAAAAAAAAATTGTTTTTGTATTTTTGAATTTTCGAAAAAAAATATTATCTGCAAAAATTTCCCGTGGACTCGATCGACTATCGATCTCAATCTATTACGTAACCTATCGTGCGTAGCGGCAAACAACTAAATTTGGCAGAGACAATTCCAAATAGGCAACTACTCTACGGACACAGTGTAGCTAGACTCTACTACCCAGCTAGCAGATATCCTAACAAGACACTAGACAGCAGCCAGTATGCACAAAACACGGACACAGAAAATGTTCCGAAAATGTTTGGCCAGACAGTTTGGCGCCAATGCTTGACCTATGGACTGTAAACCATGGTAAACAATGCATGCAACAAGAAAACGACGAGCAGAAAGAAACACAATGCAGAAAGGAAAATATTGACGAAGAGAGTGGATGAGGATATGGTTTCACTTGCGTGGGCCTTCGTGGTACTTCATAGTCGGCGATCTCCGAAGGCGTACATACTCCGCCAGCGATGTAGTGGTGGACGTTTTCCGCTGCCACCAGTGTTAGCTGCTCCCGGCTAATGATGCCCCCTCACACCGGAACACAAGGGGTTTTATATGATTGGATAATTTATAGAAGTATTCGAGAAGAGTGTAGACAAGGAGAACAGGACAACGACAACTCAAGACTAGACTAGACTACAACAGAACAGAACCTGGAGCATGCGCTCTTCTATGTGAGTGGCTCATTGCCAAGGGGAACGAGCGGGAAATACGAATGGTGAGTATTCAGGTCGTAGCATACATACACCTATTACAATTTCACCATAACTCTCCAGTTATTAATTCCCCTACTAAGTTAAAAAAGAAAGAAGTGAACTGTTTTTTTGGAAACTCAATCTACTCCCATGCATGACTACTGTACTTGTTTTCAGAGTGTTGTGGATACCAAGAAGATGAAATCAAGAAGCAAGAAGGAGACTGGCTATTCGCATCTTCGCCGAGCAGATAAGGTATTCAATGGTGATCCGGCATCTCGCTTTGGTTGGTCCTTGGCATCAGTAGGTGATGTGGATGGGGACGGGTACCCAGGTAAGATGGATGTCCTCCTAATATTCATAGTCAGATGTTGTCCTGACGGTCCTAGGCAGATGTTGTCCTGACGGTCCTAGGCAGATGTTGTCCTGACGGTCCTAGGCAGATGTACTGTGCTCTTAGAGTAGTGAGTGCTCCTTGGATATACAATCAGTACAATCAGTTGTACGCTGTTATCATTAAAAGTAATAACATTGGCCGTCTAAATTAGAACTGTTAAAGTAGCCGAAACAGCAAGTTTTGGGCTCTTTCTTACCCTGGTACATAAGTGCAGGCGAAGAGTTGAGATGCAAAAATCGCTAAAGCCATTTCATCACTATTGGGAGAATGGCTGAAAAGGACTCATTATATTTGCGGTTTCATTTGTATCTAAATCCATATTTGGGTTCCAGTTTTCTTGTCATTAACACGCATGCACTCGCTATTGCAGACCAGTGGAGAGCACACATCATATGGAGGATTCATGGAGTGCTGGGCAACCGAATCTGGCATGTGATAATCATGTAGGATAGTCCACGCACGAGGTGCAGCCCATGAAATGGGCACCCATGAACTGGGCGGAGTGTGGACGGCCTGTATGATAGTGTGTATGTATGTCCACGCACAAAGTGCAGCCCATGAGATGGGCGCCCATGAAATGGACGGAGTGTGGACGGCCCACGCACACGAGGTGCAGCCCATGAAATGGGCACCCATGAACTGGGCGGAGTGTGGACGACCTGTATGATAGTGTGTATGTATGTCCACGCACAAAGTGCAGCCCATGAGATGGGCGCCCATGAAATGGACGGAGTGTGGACGGCCCACGCACGAAGTGCAATGCCCGTTAGGAGGCAGGAGTGTGGGAGTATGAGTGTGATGGCCGAAGACCGTGATAATTGCCAGATGAGAGGAGATAGCTGGCCCAGCACTCCTATCTATTTTCGTCTTGTATGAATTATGATACCTGTGTTGAATCAAGGATATCAATATTATTCATAGATGGGAAGAGGTGGGTGGGTGAGAAAGGAACAAACCGGTGTTCTTCTCACTACCCAAGCAAAGCAAATATGAAGTAGCAATACGGCCAGCGCAAAGTATGGTGTATGCGTTACGGGTTCAAGCTCCGATGTGTGCTGCAGCCGCATATGGCTGGTTGGCTGGCGAGTTCAGGTGAGTTCCGGCGTAGACCTACGCATGTTACATGCCACAGCAGCGTGCATGTACGTGTTACTTGACATGCATCAATGAATAGCGTGGGATCTGCGGGCTCTTTGGAAGCCGCTGGAGCGCGTGTGAAGTGGTGGCTTGTGCAACGTGTTAACCTACATTACCGCAAGCTCTAATGTGCTATTAACACGCATGCACTCGCTATTGCAGACCAGTGGAGAGCACACATCATATGGAGGATTCATGGAGTGCTGGGCAACCGAATCTGGCATGTGATAATCATGTAGGATAGTCCACGCACGAGGTGCAGCCCATGAAATGGGCACCCATGAACTGGGCGGAGTGTGGACGGCCTGTATGATAGTGTGTATGTATGTCCACGCACAAAGTGCAGCCCATGAGATGGGCGCCCATGAAATGGACGGAGTGTGGACGGCCCACGCACACGAGGTGCAGCCCATGAAATGGGCACCCATGAACTGGGCGGAGTGTGGACGACCTGTATGATAGTGTGTATGTATGTCCACGCACAAAGTGCAGCCCATGAGATGGGCGCCCATGAAATGGACGGAGTGTGGACGGCCCACGCACGAAGTGCAATGCCCGTTAGGAGGCAGGAGTGTGGGAGTATGAGTGTGATGGCCGAAGACCGTGATAATTGCCAGATGAGAGGAGATAGCTGGCCCATGGTTGCCCAGCCTCCATGCTAAGTTGTGACACATTGCAATGCACGTGAATGACACTGTTGTTGCTATCAGCGCAGTTTGTCAGCACAATCCTAGCAGAGCAAGTTGCTGTGCTGTTCCAAACGGTCAGCCGTGTGGGTACGTGGATGGGTGCGAGTTGCATTGCCCGCGTGGCGGGTTCTTACATACCTCCATGCGTTCTGTGATGCGCTTGTACCTCTGACAGCTTTTGGGTCAGCTGCCCCATGTCTGTGTCGGTTGCCCTGATGTAGCGCAAGACACTGTCGCTTCTCCATCGGCCCATTGCCCTGATGAGCCAGTCCGGGGTACCCGCCATGGCTGCAGTTGTGGCGGCACCGATGCGGAACGAATGACCAGCGTAATCGCGTGAATTGGGTGTTTCCGTGAGTGGGAGAAGCTGTCGGAGCTCTTCTGTCAGTGCCTGCCTGGTCAGCGGTCTCCCAGGGCGGTAGCGGAAGAGTGCGTCAGTGGCGTCAGACGGACAGACTGTAAAATATGCCAGGAGGGCGGCAACCGGGCAAGGTTGTGAAGTGGTACTACCGATTATCTGCATGGCCCTGACGAAGTTGGTCCGTCTTCGATTGCTTGATGTGGAAGCGGATATATGTGCGTCCTTGAGTGACATCCAGAGTCACATCCTGGCGTGTGGTATGAGTGGCAGGGTCAAACCCGGCTGGAGGCGCAGTGAATTCAGCGCATCGAAGAAATCCGAAGAAGGCGAGCACCATTGCCGCCTTGAGCATGCCCTTGTCCTGCTGGTGACGCCGTTGGTCCAGGCTGAGTTGGTTGAGGAGCTTCCGCAGCAAATCAATGGTGATTGGGAGGCGAGTGCGCTGGATTGCCGGGTCAGTCGCCGTCCTCTTGATGCCTCGCATAACACGTGGCGGCAGCAATGCGTTCATCGTTGGATCTCGGAATCCGGCTTCGAGATGCATGTTGCGTACTGCGGCCATGTAGACATGAATTGTCTGTGGTTGAACCGATTGTGTGAGGTGTGCTGCGAAGCAGCTGGGCATCGTGTCTGTAGCCGGCATGGGCGTCCGTCTCTGCAACGCACAGAATTGCGTAAATTTCCTTTCGCCAGTGGCGTACGTGCGCCGTGTTGTCGGGGCGATTGCCATGGCTGCCAGGTCGGCGACCTCCTGCATCAGTCCAGGAGAGAGAGGCGGATCGCAGTGTCCGGGGCTTGCTGTGCCGATGGTGCCAGCTGCTGGAATGCCTGTCAGAGTGATACGGAAATAGGGCTTGGCGCGGCTAAACCTCTTGTTGATATCCCATAAGCGCCGCGTAAATGTTCTGCCTGGTACGACGACGCTCGACGCAAAGGAGAGTTTCCCCAGGAAGTGATCGAGTTTGCGTTGCGTGGTCTGGGTGCAGCGTGACAGCTCGCTGAGGAGCTCGCGGAGGTCCGTCGGTTTGTCGTCTGGGAGACGGGCTTCCATGCGCACCGTGTCCAGCACAATTCCGAGGAAGGCAGTAATGTGTGAAAGCGAACAGTGTTCAGGGGAGTGGTAGTCGGCTTACTTTTTCTCAGTGGGCTTCGAAGTCTTCTCGTGGCTATCTGCAGGGCGCTGCCACCTGAAGCGGGTGGTGCTGGTGCAGGATGTGGCGGCATGACCTTTGTCTTCACATGAGCTGCAGGCGTAGAGACGGTCGCAGGGTGTGCGGGAACAGGGCCTGCAGTTATTTAAAACAGACTTGGCGGGTGCTGCCCGCCACTGATGGAAAGGGCTGCGCGTGTTGAGCTACGGCATGTGGGCAGGCAGCGGTCGCGGCTGTTTTGGAGCGTGCATTTGGTGCATGACAGACGGGGAGAGCGGAGTAGGCGAATACTCCACAGCGTCTGATTGATCACGTCCCAGCGCAGTGCCATGCTGGCGGTGTGTTGGCGAAATGCTCGATCATAGTTCAGCACAGGAGACGTCTGCATGACAGACGGGGAGAGCGGAGTAGGCGAATACTCCACAGCGTCTGATTGATCACGTCCCAGCGCAGTGCCATGCTGGCGGTGTGTTGGCGAAATGCTCGATCATAGTTCAGCACGGCATGCTAGCAGACGTCGTGAACTGTTGGTTCGCAGTACAAAGTATGTGCTGGTAGCAGACGAGCTCATGAGCTCGGTCAGGACGAGCAAGAACGACGATGCCCATGTAGATCGTCCAGGCCTCCAGCCAAGCCGAGAAGTCGTTGATCGCGCGCGTGTGCTTTGCGCTGAGGTTGAGCGAGAGCTGAGCCATGTCGCCGCCAGCTGTAACCAGTTGTATTGGCTCCTGTCCCTGGGAGCTGAAATTTTCCGGCAAGAGTTCCTCAAGTTCCACAAACTCTCCGCGCTGGATTTTTTCAATCGCACGACGTGGCGGTGTGGGTAGAACCGAGGGCTTGGAGAGAACTGGAGGTCCTGGCAAAGTCGAAGGTTCCGATAGAACTGGAAGTTCCGGGCAGGATAGGTCCGGAGCTTGACGCTCGGAGCGTGGGAGCGATCTTTCGGGTGCGGAGCGCGCGCGTGGGAGAGATCGGCTTCCAGATCAGACTCAGCACTGTCTGTTCTCCAGGCGTTCCACGCGTTCGAGGAGAGGGTGGAGGGCGTTCATCTTCATAACGGCTGAGGAAATGATGTCCGGGGAGAGCAATGAGGGCTCGTCCTGCATAGAAGCGTCGGTGCCTGGAGCGGGGTCAGAAGTCTGAACTAGCTGCTGACGGTGTGTCGGAGGCAATAAGCGCGAAGGCGCGCATGCCGTCAGTCCGCGCGTATGGCGAGGTCGAAGCCCTACCCGAGCGGCGACGGGTAACCTCGACGGCATACCCGCGTCTGCGTCCACGTCTGCTTCCTCGTACAGAGCCTCGTGGCATGGTGAAAGAGAGAGAAAGGAAGGGAGAAAGGAACAAACCGGTGTTCTTCTCACTACCCAAGCAAAGCAAATATGAGAAAGGAACAAACCGGTGTTCTTCTCACTACCCAAGCAAAGCAAATATGAAGTAGCAATACGGCCAGCGCAAAGTATGGTGTATGCGTTACGGGTTCAAGCTCCGATGTGTGCTGCAGCCGCATATGGCTGGTTGGCTGGCGAGTTCAGGTGAGTTCCGGCGTAGACCTACGCATGTTACATGCCACAGCAGCGTGCATGTACGTGTTACTTGACATGCATCAATGAATAGCGTGGGATCTGCGGGCTCTTTGGAAGCCGCTGGAGCGCGTGTGAAGTGGTGGCTTGTGCAACGTGTTAACCTACATTACCGCAAGCTCTAATGTGCTAGATTTTGGATTAGAAATTTTTCCTGGTGATGCCCCTAGACCGTACACTGAGCTGAAAATCTGATTTTCTCAGTCCGACAAGTCTCGTGTCCATGGCATGACTTCCCCCAATCTGGCACTTATCCATTTATGCTGGGCTGAGTCTGGAACGAGGGACGCCAGATTCTAATGTTTTGTGATATTCAAAAAAGAAAAGAAAAGAGTTGTCTACTATGACTGTGTTCCTCCTTGTCTTCTAGATGTAGCCATCGGAGCTCCTGGCGAGAGGGTGAATGGTGTGTGTATGTATGTATGTGTGTGTGTCTGTCTGTCTGTCTGTCTGTGTGTGTATGTGTATGTAGATGTAGCCATCGGAGCTCCTGGTGAGACAGTACATGGTGTGTTTGGAGTAGGTGCGGTGTACCTCTATCTCGGATCAGCTAATGGTTTAGAACAGAAAGCTGCACAGCGTATTGTACCAACAACTACGGCAACCAGATCATTTGGATACTCGCTATCCTATGGATGGGATATTGACTCCAATGGTTATAACGGTAAGGATGATTTCAAAAAGTGACGACTACAAAACGATATATCGTCCTAAACTTCAGAATGTAACTTCCTATACTTGCACGGTGTACCTAGCAGGAATTCCCCTCACAACACCAGGACATGACTTGAGTAGTGCCTTGCAATTTGCAAGTTGAATTGTGTAATCCCGGCCCAAGTTGATACGTCTACGCCTAGCATGTTTGGCATCATCACTCCAGCGCTAGATGCATGTACGTGTGTGTGTACGTGTGTGTGTGTACGTGTGTGTGTGTACGTGTGTGCACATGTGTGTGCACGTGTACTTGTGTACATGTGTGTGGGCGTGAATGTGCGTGTACTCCGACTAATGCAGATGTAGCCGTCGGTGCGTCTCACAGCTCCCAAGCATATGTATTCTTGTAAGTACAGTCGTGTGTGCTAGAAAACAATCTGTTGTACCAGTCGACATAAACATTATCAGGGGAGGGGAGGGGACACTGGATCTGCTTGCTTCCCGGCAACAGAGTGCCTTGCAAAAAGCCACCGGGAAACTAGAAACTTATAACACAACAGCAGGGAGTGTTTCCACCTGCAGTTGAATACTATAAAGTATGGGTGGTACAAGTGATTCTTATTCAGTCATGTGGCCTACTCCCATGTTCCCGTGCAGGTCCAGACCAGTAGTGTCCATCTCGATGGACATGAGAATTGTACGACTCCACGGGCCACATTGCAGCAGCAGCAGCAGCAGCAGCAGCAGCAGCAGCAGCAGCAGCAGCAGCAGCAGCAGCAGCAGCAGCAGCAGCAGCAGCAGCAGCAGTGCTACAGGCAGAAGCTCTGACCCAGCGCTTGGAATGAACACCTGGTAAGACTGACAATACGACAGTTTCACCTTGAGGAATTTCTTTAAAAGTATTCTGACCGAGTACTGGATGGCAGGTTGGCCGATAGAATGCTCCTACTGAAGTCACAGAGACATTCTGGATGATTCTGCGCTTTATATTAGCAAGTTATTTACCTGTTGTTGCAACCTAAGCACTTATCAACGCTTCAAGTGCACCCGATTCGAATAGTCCGACTTGTCCTCCTTCAGATTAACAGGGGTATGATCAAGGAGATAAACCCTGTTGATCCATTCAGGACCTACGTCATGCATTCTACACTGACAAAGACCAGTACTACTGCAAGGTATAGACCATCTCCTAATAGTGTGTCATTGTTTGTTTTTGGCTTGATTTGTAGCATTGTGGCGGAAGTGTGTGCTCGAAATTTGAGAAGGCCCCAGAAGACCCCGATTGGTAAGGCATAGTGTACTGGTCACTGTAAAACTTCCTGCATTTGTAGAAGCATTGTGACAAGTGCTGTGCTTTGCCGATGCAGCAACAGCCTGTAGTCGCTGTATTTCTGTGCGTCTCTGTGCGTCTGTATTCCCTGCATTTCGCCATTATGTGGAAAACTGCAAGGTTTTCTGATATTCTTATCAAACGGAACACTTATTCTCTAAGGTCTTGTGGTGAAGTTCTGATGACAACATTTTGAGAAGTCTAGGCTCTACACTATATGGGTGGCTGTGTGTGTGTGTGTGTGTGTGTGTGTGTGTGTGTGTGTGTGTGTGTGTGAGACCAAAAAGTAGGGATTCACTGGCCAGAAAAAGCCACTTCATAGCTGTGTGGTGTAGACCAGGCTGTATAGTGGCGGTCAATTCTTCAGCCGCAAGCTGTTGAATGGTGCAATCCCAGCTCGAGCTGCTATGGCTTCTGCTGTAGCATCGCTATCATCGCCTTCGGCGCTGGGCGTCCAATGGTCCAATGGTGTGTGTGCCAGCTAGTTCGGTTGGTGGGTACACTTATGCCTGATTGTGTGGGGTCTGTTGCCAACGGGCTCGGCTGCTTGTAGGTGTAATGTGGTACCTACCACCTTTGTTGGTTCCAGGGTTCATATACTTTCTATTTGAAGTGTTAACCATGGACTGCTTCTGGCTCGATTAACTCTTGTGTAATCAATGGTGCTAGTGACGCTTATATCAGATCCCCTCTGATTTAGCCACCCACACTAGTAGCAAGTATTACCTTCACTGGGGCAGGGGTAACTGCAGTTGGATCCCAGGACGGATGCCCTGGTGCCGTCAATCCTTTTTTTGCACCTTTTCCTCACCCACTTACTGAGGTGTGGTGAGCCCATAAGTGGGATCATTTTCAAGTCCACCCAGAGTTTTGGGATTTCAGGGGGTGTCCGCCGTTGGGTGATTCAATAGCCAATTGAGTCATCTTTCTAAGATTCCTTTTGAGTCTCTCTCCCCTCTCCCGGGGAGACCCACGTGACCAGTTTTGGCAGTGAGCAACAGGTACAAGTGTGTGTGTGTGTGTGTGTGTGTGTGTGTGTGTGTGTGTGTGTGTGTGTGTTGGGTGCGTTGGTGCATGTTTGTTTGTGTTGTCGTGCCCGCAATCCTCTGGGTCAAGGTATTGACTTCACTCTATCAATAGACAAAGCATGGCTGATATGGGCGGATGTTGGTCACAACTCAACAGCTGGAGGCGTCTTGGCTGGACACGTGACTATCCAGTATGCAAGAAGTTGGTCTTGTGTTCGCCATCATCTTGCTATCCATGTGAGTCAAGTCACTGCTACTGCACTATACATAGGCCCGGAGCCAGCTCCTGAGGGGTGGTGCGCCCCAAGTTGGCCGCAGGACCGATTACAAGGAGAACAGGAGAGACTCTAGAGACTCTAGAGGAGAACAGGAGAGACTCTAGAGGAGTGTAGGAGGATAGCCTATTACATACTGCCACATAATCAATCGCATACTGAGCAGCCGATGAACGCTGGAACCGGTAAAAACTGGTACGGCCATGGCCGCACCAGCCGTACCAGTGGCGTCGACCCTGATACATGTCACAGTCAAGTCACTGCTGCTGCACTATACATGTTACATGAACTGTTAGCACTGCACTATACATGTTACATGAACTATTAGCACTGCACTATACATGTTACATGAACTGTTAGCACTGCACTGGTGGGTACTGCTAGTCTGTCTTATGCAGTGGTCTGGTCATTCAGATCGGAGTGGCGTTGTGTGAATAACGTAAATATCGCAGGTTTGAACCATGCAAGGGAGCATGCTAATTGTTTCTGGTCATTGTGATACTTTAATACCAGTTCTGATAACCAAACAAAGCACTCGGCTGACGTGCAGATTTTGCGTATGCCCCTTTTCTTCTTTCCTGGCCTTAAGTTTGGTGTGAAGCCCAAGGCCATTCCACAAACTCGGCCTAGCTCTTTACATTGGAGGAGATGCACGCTCTGCTTCTTTTGATTTTTTGCTTGGTTCATTGCCTGTGCAGGTAGACTATTTGGATCTCTGTAATCCAGCAAGTATAACTCTTACTGACTGGAGCCTTAGCAACAGGCCCATATCAGCACGAGGCATTCCGGCACATCGGCTTGCTCCACTGCTGGTCAGGAATCATCCTCAATTGACACCACTCACCTTACAGGTAATTCTAATATCATGTGTAGCGCGGGTGCCTATTAGCAAAGGTCACTGATATTTTGTGTGTGTGTGATGACTGGGCTTCGAGTAGAGCAGTTCTACTTGAGTAGTTCTACTGTTTAAAAAAGTAAAGCTGATAAGCTGATTGAGTGATCTACCACTGAGGTAGGAGGATTTGCCTTTTGCGGCGACTGCGCCCCCTAGCCAAACTGCCATTAGTAGTCACTGTTTAGCTGAACCGAAGAAAAATGTCGCTTGAGCTTGAACATTCCCTTTGCTGTATGGAAATTGCAGCAGTGGTTAGACCTCTTTGCACCATTCTCTTTTACTCCAGGTGGATGCTGTTCCAGAATGTGTGGCTTGCACTGGACAATACATGACTGGTTACCTATCAATACACAGCACCAGCAGCAGCAGCAGGTAAGCTAGAACATTGCTGGGGCTAACGCATCAACTATCCTCTATGCACAAGCTTTGGGGTCTGACTTTGCAGTCCTTCTGCCAGCAGTACTAGCACTGTCCGCTCATGTTGTGAACCCAGGACTTGATGTCAATTCATTTCAGTTGGAGTGGTCTTTACAAACTGTTACATGATGGTCCAGGGGAGTGCACCCAAAGCCCCCACCCACCCACCCCCTCCCTCCCCCTCCCCCCTTAAAAACGTTCAATCTTGGTTCGCAGCTGGTTCGAGAGAGACGATAATGCACGGACCGCTGATCCAACATAAGTGCATGTACTTTTGCGAGGGGAAAGTTATGGCACCCCCTTGACCACTATCCTGGATATGCCCCTGTGTTCTTATCTCGTGCTTGCCTGGCATGATCCACTGTGTGTCTCTCTCCACACGAATGAGGTGCTTAATTTGAGGAGGTGTGGCGGTGTCTGGTTTTCACATGTCATGTCCGGCACTATGGCTTTCGGTCAGAATTGAGTGTTCACTACTGGCAAATGTTCCCACTGTGCAAAGCACGGAAAGTGAATATGGACAAACTGAACATAACTGCTTCCACTGGGTCTGTTACTAGTAGAACGTTTCGTTTTTCTCTCTTTTATCAGGTCAATACACCGATGTGATGAGACAACTAATGGCTCTCAATGGTCTGCTGCAAGTAGAATGGCAGCAGCGTTGCCACACTGCTCAGAACTACACAGTGGAGATGGTCACCAGCAAAACCATCTGATACTGTTCTCCTCCGCTAACTCCCCAGTGAACTGGATGTGTTCGCAGTATGGCCGTTTAACAATGCACTGTCCAAAGTGCAATGCTGCGAGTAATGCTGATGATACAGGTGCAAGCCATGCACAGGTAACTGTATGTTTGTTTGATGTTTACACACGAATGCATTATACACATGCACACTCGGGGTGAATGCCCACCACATTCCAGGCTCACGAGTCCCGGCATTCCACAGTACACATGCATGTGTGAGGCCTTCCGAATATACAGTATTTTCCAGAGTGTAAGCCGCACTTTGAAAGCTCAAAATCCCCCCCCCCCCCAAAGGGTGGGTGCTTATACTCAGATGATAAATTAAAGGTGATAAATAGGGTGGATAGGTGTGGCAAAGAATTGTTGAGCGGCTTATACTCCGGAAATATGGTGTTCCTTTGCCTGTGTGTTGTGGAGCATTTGACTGTAGGCGCATGTGCTCCACAGTGGCAACAATTGAAGAAACAGTGACCAATGCCACCACATACATGTACATGTAATGCGTGTTCACATTCACATCGAGTGAACCTTTATCTATTGTAGTCTCTATTGTAGTCTCTATTGTAGTCTCTATTGTAGTCTCTATTGCAGTCTCTATTGCAGTCTCTATTGTAGTCTCTATTGCAGTCTCTATTGCAGTCTCTATTGTAGTCTCTATTGCAGTCTCTATTGCAGTCTCTATTGCAGTCTCTATTGTAGTCTCTATTGTAGTCTCTATTGCAGTCTCTATTGTAGTCTCTATTGTAGTCTCTATTGCAGTCTCTATTGTAGTCTCTATTGTAGTCTCTATTGCCGTCTCTATTGTAGTCTCTATTGCAGTCTCTATTGTAGTCTCTATTGCAGTCTCTATTGTAGTCTCTATTGTAGTCTCTATTGCAGTCTCTATTGCAGTCTCTATTGTAGTCTCTATTGTAGTCTCTATTGTAGTCTCTATTGCAGTCTCTATTGTAGTCTCTATTGTAGTCTCTATTGTAGTCTCTATTGTATTCTCTATTGTAGTCTCTATTGTAGTCTCTATTGTAGTCTCTATTGTAGTCTCTATTGTAGTCTCTATTGTAGTCTCTATTGTAGTCTCTATTGTAGTCTCTATTGTAGTCTCTATTGTAGTCTCTATTGTAGTCTCTATTGTAGTCTCTATTGTAGTCTCTATTGTAGTCTCTATTGTAGTCTCTATTGCAGTCTCTATTGCAGTCTCTATTGCAGTCTCTATTGTAGTCTCTATTGTAGTCTCTATTGTAGTCTCTATTGTAGTCTCTATTGTAGTCTCTATTGCAGTCTCTATTGCAGTCTCTATTGTAGTCTCTATTGCAGTCTCTATTGTAGTCTCTATTGTAGTCTCTATTGTAGTCTCTATTGTAGTCTCTATTGTAGTCTCTATTGTAGTCTCTATTGCAGTCTCTATTGCAGTCTCTATTGTAGTCTCTATTGTAGTCTCTATTGTAGTCTCTATTGCAGTCTCTATTGTAGTCTCTATTGCAGTCTCTATTGTAGTCTCTATTGCAGTCTCTATTGCAGTCTCTATTGTAGTCTCTATTGCAGTCTCTATTGCAGTCTCTATTGTAGTCTCTATTGTAGTCTCTATTGTAGTCTCTATTGTAGTCTCTATTGCAGTCTCTATTGTAGTCTCTATTGCAGTCTCTATTGCAGTCTCTATAGTAGTCTCTATTGTAGTCTCTATTGTAGTCTCTATTGTAGTCTCTATTGTAGTCTCTATTGTAGTCTCTATTGTAGTCTCTATTGTAGTCTCTATTGCAGTCTCTATTGTAGTCTCTATTGTAGTCTCTATTGCAGTCTCTATTGTAGTCTCTATTGTAGTCTCTATTGCAGTCTCTATTGTAGTCTCTATTGCAGTCTCTATTGTAGTCTCTATTGCAGTCTCTATTGTAGTCTCTATTGTAGTCTCTATTGCAGTCTCTATTGCAGTCTCTATTGTAGTCTCTATTGTAGTCTCTATTGTAGTCTCTATTGTAGTCTCTATTGCAGTCTCTATTGTAGTCTCTATTGTAGTCTCTATTGCAGTCTCTATTGTAGTCTCTATTGCAGTCTCTATTGTAGTCTCTATTGCAGTCTCTATTGTAGTCTCTATTGTAGTCTCTATTGCAGTCTCTATTGCAGTCTCTATTGTAGTCTCTATTGTAGTCTCTATTGTAGTCTCTATTGCAGTCTCTATCTATTGTAGTCTCTATTGTAGTCTCTATTGTAGTCTCTATTGCAGTCTCTATTGCAGTCTCTATTGTAGTCTCTATTGCAGTCTCTATTGTAGTCTCTATTGCAGTCTCTATTGTAGTCTCTATTGTAGTCTCTATTGCAGTCTCTATTGCAGTCTCTATTGCAGTCTCTATTGTAGTATTGTAGTCTCTATTGTAGTCTCTATTGTAGTCTCTATTGTAGTCTCTATTGCAGTCTCTATTGTAGTCTCTATTGTAGTCTCTATTGTAGTCTCTATTGTAGTCTCTATTGTAGTCTCTATTGTAGTCTCTATTGCAGTCTCTATTGTAGTCTCTATTGCAGTCTCTATTGTAGTCTCTATTGTAGTCTCTATTGTAGTCTCTATTGTAGTCTCTATTGTAGTCTCTATTGTAGTCTCTATTGTAGTCTCTATTGTAGTCTCTATTGTAGTCTCTATTGTAGTCTCTATTGTAGTCTCTATTGTAGTCTCTATTGTAGTCTCTATTGTAGTCTCTATTGTAGTCTCTATTGTAGTCTCTATTGTAGTCTCTATTGCAGTCTCTATTGCAGTCTCTATTGTAGTCTCTATTGCAGTCTCTATTGTAGTCTCTATTGTAGTCTCTATTGCAGTCTCTATTGCAGTCTCTATTGTAGTCTCTATTGTAGTCTCTATTGTAGTCTCTATTGCAGTCTCTATTGCAGTCTCTATTGTAGTCTCTATTGTAGTCTCTATTGTAGTCTCTATTGTAGTCTCTATTGTAGTCTCTATTGTAGTCTCTATTGTAGTCTCTATTGTAGTCTCTATTGTAGTCTCTATTGTAGTCTCTATTGTAGTCTCTATTGTAGTCTCTATTGTAGTCTCTATTGTAGTCTCTATTGTAGTCTCTATTGTAGTCTCTATTGTAGTCTCTATTGTAGTCTCTATTGTAGTCTCTATTGCAGTCTCTATTGTAGTCTCTATTGTAGTCTCTATTGTAGTCTCTATTGCAGTCTCTATTGTAGTCTCTATTGTAGTCTCTATTGCAGTCTCTATTGTAGTCTCTATTGTAGTCTCTATTGCAGTCTCTATTGTAGTCTCTATTGTAGTCTCTATTGTAGTCTCTATTGTAGTCTCTATTGTAGTCTCTATTGCAGTCTCTATTGTAGTCTCTATTGTAGTCTCTATTGCAGTCTCTATTGTAGTCTCTATTGTAGTCTCTATTGCAGTCTCTATTGTAGTCTCTATTGCAGTCTCTATTGTAGTCTCTATTGCAGTCTCTATTGTAGTCTCTATTGTAGTCTCTATTGCAGTCTCTATTGCAGTCTCTATTGCAGTCTCTATTGTAGTCTCTATTGTAGTCTCTATTGTAGTCTCTATTGCAGTCTCTATTGCAGTCTCTATTGTAGTCTCTATTGTAGTCTCTATTGTAGTCTCTATTGTAGTCTCTATTGTAGTCTCTATTGTAGTCTCTATTGTAGTCTCTATTGTAGTCTCTATTGTAGTCTCTATTGTAGTCTCTATTGTAGTCTCTATTGTAGTCTCTATTGTAGTCTCTATTGTAGTCTCTATTGTAGTCTCTATTGTAGTCTCTATTGTAGTCTCTATTGTAGTCTCTATTGCAGTCTCTATTGCAGTCTCTATTGCAGTCTCTATTGCAGTCTCTATTGCAGTCTCTATTGTAGTCTCTATTGTAGTCTCTATTGCAGTCTCTATTGCAGTCTCTATTGTAGTCTCTATTGCAGTCTCTATTGCAGTCTCTATTGCAGTCTCTATTGCAGTCTCTATTGTAGTCTCTATTGCAGTCTCTATTGCAGTCTCTATTGTAGTCTCTATTGTAGTCTCTATTGTAGTCTCTATTGCAGTCTCTATTGCAGTCTCTATTGTAGTCTCTATTGTAGTCTCTATTGCAGTCTCTATTGTAGTCTCTATTGCAGTCTCTATTGTAGTCTCTATTGCAGTCTCTATTGTAGTCTCTATTGTAGTCTCTATTGCAGTCTCTATTGCAGTCTCTATTGTAGTCTCTATTGTAGTCTCTATTGTAGTCTCTATTGTAGTCTCTATTGCAGTCTCTATTGCAGTCTCTATTGCAGTCTCTATTGCAGTCTCTATAGTAGTCTCTATTGTAGTCTCTATTGTAGTCTCTATTGTAGTCTCTATTGTAGTCTCTATTGTAGTCTCTATTGTAGTCTCTATTGTAGTCTCTATTGTAGTCTCTATTGTAGTCTCTATTGTAGTCTCTATTGTAGTCTCTATTGTAGTCTCTATTGTAGTCTCTATTGTAGTCTCTATTGTAGTCTCTATTGTAGTCTCTATTGTAGTCTCTATTGTAGTCTCTATTGTAGTCTCTATTGTAGTCTCTATTGTAGTCTCTATTGTAGTCTCTATTGTAGTCTCTATTGTAGTCTCTATTGTAGTCTCTATTGTAGTCTCTATTGCAGTCTCTATTGCAGTCTCTATTGTAGTCTCTATTGTAGTCTCTATTGCAGTCTCTATTGCAGTCTCTATTGTAGTCTCTATTGTAGTCTCTATTGCAGTCTCTATTGCAGTCTCTATTGCAGTCTCTATTGTAGTATTGTAGTCTCTATTGTAGTCTCTATTGTAGTCTCTATTGCAGTCTCTATTGCAGTCTCTATTGTAGTCTCTATTGTAGTCTCTATTGTAGTCTCTATTGCAGTCTCTATTGCAGTCTCTATTGTAGTCTCTATTGTAGTCTCTATTGTAGTCTCTATTGTAGTCTCTATTGTAGTCTCTATTGTAGTCTCTATTGTAGTCTCTATTGTAGTCTCTATTGTAGTCTCTATTGTAGTCTCTATTGTAGTCTCTATTGTAGTCTCTATTGTAGTCTCTATTGCAGTCTCTATTGTAGTCTCTATTGTAGTCTCTATTGCAGTTACATGCTATCTGTTGGTGTACAGTACTTTCGGGCGCCGGAGAATGGCCAGGCTAGCACAGCATACCAATGTATACACAGTGACTCAACTGTGCATAGACTGTAATACATGAAAATAGGAATGGTCTAGGCTACGAGGCTGACCCCTAGTTCTTCGGCGACCAAATGTCATTCAGTGCGTTGTGCTGTTTCCTGTCTTTGCAGGGTAGAGCCCATTCTCAGAAGAATCAGTACAAACTACCTCGGACACCGGAAGTGCGTTGGCACCCATTGGCGGGTAACTCAAGGTATGTGTAGGTGTGTATGCCATGCCATGTGGTTAGGCACTCTTGATAGTACACTGAAACCTGTATAATTTAAGGTGAGCACTCTAGGGACCTTTTGTCGCCGTGTCCACAGGCGCGTGCCCCGTATGGGTTCCTGGGTGCCCGGAACCCCACCCCCTTTTTTTCGCTCAAAATGCAAGATTTTGCTTCATTTTTTGAAAATTTTCCCGGGGGAGGCCCCCGGAACCCCCCCCCCTTGAAGGGCACCGGCGCACGCACTTGTGTCCAGGTGGTATTCTTATCCATGCAAGGGGCATTTCAGTGGAAAAAAAACAGCCCTTGGGCCTAGTTCTAGTGGTCCTCTAGGACAGGTGGTCAAGTTATCAGAGTGTTCGTCTTCACAGGTTTTACTCAGACTCTAGCATGTACAGTTGCGCCGCTCGGTGAAATCCGACCCAAAGCGCAAAACTGGCACCCTGTACCAGTTCTGATTACATCATTGTATTTGTACATGTGTATGTCCAGCCGCATGTGTGCTGCTTCCAAGGCGTAGAGGGCCGTGGAAATTGAGGCCGCCGAATGAGCACTCTGGTTCGGATTTTATAGAGCGCAACGTTTAGGGATGTGGTTGAGATACAGTTCCCAACAAAATTACTGGGGGTGACTCGGGAGAGGGTTCCCTAGCCTGTGGGTGTGTGATTAACAAGCGTAGATATAAATAGGCAATAAGTGGGCATGAAAGTATGTGCCTGACCTCTGATTTGCTTCCTAACAACCACCTTTCCAACAGATAAAATACTCCTCCCGTTAGGAGATCCCCGACGTGGCCTGTTAGATGGCTCAGCAGCTGGCACAAAACATGCACGACGCATTTTGACGTAAACGCTCATCCAGGCATTGAAGGGTCCCGCCCAGAAAACGGCCCTCACATTGCCGGCACTCAAATCCGCAAAAAGACTCGCCAGTGTCTTCAGGAACACCCAACATTCCCTGCCAACCATCCCAGAGGTGGAGATAACCAGGGGCGTAAACGAACCATGGTCGACTGTTACAAGCTCTCCATATTGCCCGCTTTTCTTCATTTTCTCATGGGTTTGGAGCTAACTGACTTCTTGGCGCGAGAGCAGGTGTGCGTTTTGGTGAGTGACTCGGATATCAAAAAAGGTGTTTGTCAAAAAAGGTGTTTGTAGGGTTGGTATTGACTTAAAATACATGTATCGCTGGGGGACAACTCACGGTCAGCTGTAAGCCAAGGTAAGCACCGGCACCGGTCTGTGAGATATCCCGGGAGGTCTGTGTAGCAAGCTGCGAGTTAGCAGTGGGCTGGGAGGTCTGTGTAGCAAGCTGCGAGTTAGCAGTGGGCTGGGAGGCCTGTGTAGCAAGCTGCGAGTTAGCAGTGGGCTGGGAGGTCTGTGTAGCAAGCTGCGAGTTAGCAGTGGGCTGGGAGGTCTGTGTAGCAAGCTGCGAGTTAGCAGTGGGCTGGGAGGTCTGTGTAGCAAGCTGCGAGTTAGCAGTGGGCTGGGAGGTCTGTGTAGCAAGCTGCGAGTTAGCAGTGGGCTGGGAGGTCTGTGTAGCAAGCTGCGAGTTAGCAGTGGGCTGGGAGGTCTGTGTAGCAAGCTGCGAGTTAGCAGTGGGCTGGGAGGCCTGTGTAGCAAGCTGCGAGTTAGCAGTGGGCTGGGAGGTCTGTGTAGCAAGCTGCGAGTTAGCAGTGGGCTGGGAGGTCTGTGTAGCAAGCTGCGAGTTAGCAGTGGGCTGGGAGGCCTGTGTAGCAAGCTGCGAGTTAGCAGTGGGCTGGGAGGTCTGTGTAGCAAGCTGCGAGTTAGCAGTGGGCTGGGAGGCCTGTGTAGCAAGCTGCGAGTTAGTAGTGGGCTGGGAGGTCTGTGTAGAGAGGAAGACAATGACACGGATGAAACTGAGCCGTAAAAATCACGGCAAACGTAAGATAAACAGTATGTACCCAAGGAATGATAATGCACAGAGATCTAGCGCTGATGAGACCACAAAGGACGAAGGACGAAACAGTTCCATCCGCACATTGAGATCTAGCAGAGATATATCTAAGAACAAAACAATACAAACAACAGCCGACGGAGCGAATCGAGTTTGGATGTCAGGTCTTCAATCATTCGAGCGAGAGTCGAGAGAGAGAGAGAGAGCTCGACTGCGGAACAACGCAATATAAAGGGCCTGGGCCTGGGTAGCTATGGCAAACATGGGCGCTTAAGTAGCTACCCAGGCCAAATGAATAATGCATGAACTAATGAATATGAACTAATTACTTGTGGGCCTAACATACCACCCCTACTTGAAAAAGAATCCCGCGTCTTCGCGGAAAAAAAAAGAAAAAAAAGAGAGAAACAGGTGTCTAAATTTTTTTTTATCTGCGAATAACATTTGAGAGAACGACATCTTTTTAAGGAAAATAGTAAAAACAGTAGTAAACCCAATCATGAATGTAATGTAATGTAACCCAATCATGAATGTAATCGACATTTCAGGCATGCATATAATGTTGTAAATCTTGAGGCGAGGCGATCTAAGAAGAACGACAAGGACAACGACGAGGAAACGACAGGCACCCGGAAGACAACAACTTCCGAAGCGCCTGCCTGCACACGCAACCCCAAGGAAAAGGACAACGACAAAGAAACGACAGGCACCCCGGAAGACAACTGATGGTGTGGAAAGTTGCTGGTGTGAAGTCACTTGCAGGCCCCGCAGTTGTCTTGTTGGAACGATCTACCGCCCTCCATCTGAACCTGTGGGTTACTGGGACAAGCTAGACGAACATCTTTGCGCTGCTCTAAGGCCACAGCCAAATGCTATCGTTTGTGGTGACTTTAATGTGAATATTGACCTAAGTGCCAGGGACCCTCAGTATCACTACTTATCTGACTTGCTGAACAGCTATGCTCTGCATCACGGTGTCAACAAGTCTACGCGATTTAGCTCAACAGGACAAGACAGCACCCTCGATTTGATACTGAACAATTTTGATCCTTCCACTACAGCGAAGATCATCCCGGTCGCTTTCAGTGACCATGCTGCCGTGGCCAGTGACTTTCACCTCATTGTGCCTCGTGGATCTGACACCACACGTTTATACCGCAACTATCACCGGATAAACCACGATCACTTCCGGCGTGACTTAACCCAGAAGAACTTGTGTAGTATTACCGGCAACCCAAGCGCCATGTGGACCGAGTGGTCTAGCCGGTTTATTGAGGTTTTGGATGTCCATGCCCCACTTCAAAGTAATCACAGAACAAAGAAGCCTTCAGTGCCGTGGATTGACCGGCAATTGTTGTACTTACTACACAAGCGGAATAGGTTGCACCGAAAGTGGCTCTCTGCTAAGACACAGGAGACTTATGCTGAATTTAGTACAGCCAGACGTGCGGCAACTAGCTACAACAGGACCCGGAAACAGGAATTCTACAACTCCAAATTTCAGCAATGTACTGGAAATGCCAGAGAGACTTGGAAAATAATCAAGGAGTTGACAGGCAAACAGTCGACGTACAGGGATCCACAGTGCACGGTGGATGCGATTCGAGACACTTTTTCGAAAGTTGTGGAAGATCCAGCTCGCCCTGCACAGCTACGCCTACCCCTTGGGCCTCCACCTGCGGTGCACTTCTCGGAATTCTTGCCAGTCTCCATTGCAACTACTCGGAAAATGTTGGAACAGTTGGACACCAGAAAAGCCACTGGGAGTGATGATATTCCAGCAAGTCTCCTCCAGATGCATGCTGACATCCTGGCACCGTCACTCACGCTACTATTTAATAAGTCATTGAGAGAAGGACAGTTTCCTGCGGCAATGAAGGTGGGTAAGATACGGCCTCTGTTCAAGGCTGGAGACCCCAGCCAACCCAAGAATTACCGACCAGTCTCCCTATTGCCGATAGTGTCGAAAGTGCTTGAACGTATTGTTCATAAGCAGCTTCTGCAGTACCTCAACACGAACAATTTCTTGCCTACTAGTCAGTTTGGTTACAGACATCAGCATTCCACAGCAGATGCCTTAGCGCTAGCTGTAGAGAACATCAATGAAGCACAAGCCGCTGGGCAGCACACAGGAGTAGCATTTGTCGACATGTCTAAAGCTTTCAACAAAAAAAGCATAGCATTCTGGTTGAGGCCCTCTTTGAACTGGGTCTCACTAGCACTGCTTTGCAATGGTTTTCAGACTACTTGATGTATCGCCGGCAATACGTGGAGATAGGAAAAACCAGAAGTACAACTTATGACAGCCAGTCAGGGGTTCCTCAGGGGTCAGTTCTCGGACCTTTGCTCTTCGTTCTGTATGTGAGGGATATTGCCGGCGACCTTGCCCCTCATGACGTCACCACTATTCAGTTTGCTGATGACATCTCGCTGCGTGCGAGCAGTCCACAGCCAGAAGTTGTCTCCCAGCGCCTCACTGCAGCAGTTCAGTACCTGGCCACTTGGTTGACGAAACGTGGACTGATCCTTAACGAGACCAAGACGCAGATACTCGCCATACCACACCATAGAGCTGCAGCCCTCGACATCAATGTTGTATGCAATTCACAAGTCCTACCAGTAGTCACATCTGCCAAATACCTTGGCCTGCATTTTGACTCGGACATGAGTTGGACCACAATGGTGGACCATGTTGCTCGTCGTGTTGCCGGCAAAATTGCTGTCCTGCTGCGACATGCTTCCTCGCTGCCGTATCCATGCCGACTCACCTACTTCAGATCTATCGTTTTGCCTGAATTTTTGTATGCTTCTCTTAGTTACTACCCGTATTTGACAGTTGCCCAGGAACAACGGCTACATAGGCTGTTCAAACGTGCCGCTCGGGCAGTCTGCAAGTCGCCACCGTGGACCAGTACTGCTCCCCTGCTAAATCGAATGCATGTATGTGATCTACAGGTTTCTGTGCACTTGAATATGTTGTGTTTCATCTGGCGATGTTTGCATGATGCATGTAGCACCCTGTTTGAGTCCTTTTTTGCTGTCGTGCCCTCAACTCGCACTCGGGGAGGCCAAAGCAACTTGCTTGTGGTCCCACCTGCTAGCACTGCTCGTTCTGCTAAGCGCCTAACGCACGCTGGAGCCATTATGTGGAATAGATTGCCACCAGCAGCAAAATGTTCAAATAGGTATTTGGATTTTAAATCTCAAGCCTTGCAGTATATATTATCAGCGACATAGGTTTTCCAATGCTTACTGGATTGATATCTGTTCGTTGCAACCAACCTTCCGTCATTTTTTCCTTTCTCTTTTTCTCTTGTATCTACTTTTTTTTTTTTTTTTTTTTTTTTCTCCACAATATCCTTTAACATGTTATTCACAGTGGGTCCAATGTTATTAGGCATTTTGCCTGTTTTGATTTCCACTATAAATAAAGTATACAACAACAACAACTTCCGAAGCGCCTGCCCGCTCACGCAACACCAAGGAGAAAGGACAACGACAAAAAAACGACAGGCACCCCGGAAGACAACAACTTCCGAAGCGCCTGCCCGCACACTCAACATGTTCACACATATACTCAAAACAACAAGAATAGCACTACACAAGAACAGGCGAAAACCTAGCGAAAACCGTCGAGGTACGAAGAATCGAGTAATCCTTCATTAACGAGACAAATCCTCAGTTGCACACTCGCTCTGAAAGAGTGGGCGTGTTAGCAACATCGGGACAAACGGACCAAGACCCACAACACACGAAAAGACGCACACACAAATGATATAATCCGCAAGTTCAATAAAAAAGGAGAAAAAGAAGCGCACACACAAGAAACAACAACGCACACACAACCTGGCAAGGACGGTGGCTACAAATTGGCACGAAAAACGACTAGGACTACCTTATTCAGGCAATCAAAACAAGGACATCACAAGACAAACCAACGGTTGACGCGGTCATAGATGGGACCACGACGAGGAAACGCATGACGAGGACGACGATTGGGTGGCGGGGTTGAACAGTGGTGGTATGGCGTGTGGGGTGGCATGGTTGGTAAGTGAAGTTGGTGGGGTGGTAAAACGTCGGCGTCGTAGTAGCGGTGTGTCGGTCGTGGTCGTGGTTGCGGGCGCGGTCGTAGTTGCTGTTGGTTGTGCGTGTTGCGTCGTCGCGGTGGTCGGTATGTTTGAATGGTGAGTCGTTGTCGGATCGCTGTTAGTAGATGATCGATCGAAGGCATCGGTGGTGGTGGCGCGGGCGTCAGTTCGTCTTGGCGCCTAGCGATCGAGGTGCGCCGGCCAGACCAATGGCGGCGCCGTCGCTTGCGGCTAAGGTGGTGCCGACGGTGGTCGGGGCACCGGAGATGGTGTGTCTGTGCGACCATACCAACTCCGGCCCCGGGATGGCGACCCCCATGGCGACGGATTCCATGCAGGGGATGGAGGCGGCGGCGGCGTTCGTTGTAGGCGGTCAAGCGGAGGCGGAGGAGTTGATGGCGGGAACCTGGCGGGAGCGGAATCCGTAAGGCCGCCACCAGGCCCGGGTGCATTGGCGAGTCCTCGGTCATGTTACTGAACTACACTACAACAAGGGTGCAGACTGTTGTACCTCCTAGCGATATGCTGAAGCAAAACACACTTGATGGAGAAAGGAGGTGAGGAATGCACAGCTAAAACCTAGTAAATCGCAAAATGGAAAATTCTGAAGCAAGCAACCCAACCCAACACAGCAATGAATAAGGAGTACAACACTATCAAAAATCCTCCAAGCTTCCTCATCCACTGCCAGTGCCAGAGCTCCCAAACTGCCAACTGCCCTCCACCAGCGCAACTGTTTGCGTAATCCACAGCAGCAGCAGTAGTAAGAAGAGCACCAGGCAGCAGCAGCAACAGCAGAATTCCCAGATGCCCGCGCACATTGGAAGTCAGGCAATCATGAATTGCTTAAAACTCTGGGCTTGTCCCTGGACGGGATACCAACATGTATACCGCGACATTACGTCTCCTCACAAGACTACAAATAATGCCAACTTGGTCATGACTTGCATCTCATCCAGACGGTTTGCGTTTGGACGGCGATTCTCACTTCCCGTTATGTACAGCATGGCAGATGAAAGTCCTCGAAGCTGTTTGTATACGTGTCCATAAGCGGAATTAGTTAGCATTGTTCTCGGTTTCACTCGGGGAATAATCTGAAGGCTTGATGATGACCCTCCATTACATTGCAATGAAACATCATCCAAAATCATGTTTTTCTTCGAGACTTTACTGGCTGGAGTATCTCGCCGCGTTACGTTCACGCTGCGAGGAATCCAATTTCCAAGGAGTCGGGAGAATCAATCGGATCAAACGAACAAAGGAGTCAACGAACTTTGAACATCACCTGGTTGAACTCTCCGACCAGACTGTCGAGCACCCTCCGCCCGTTTAGCAGGATGCTTTCACTCCTCTGACGATCGTGTACCTCTGGCTAACGGGTCCCCTTTTGGAATAGATGAGTAATTAACGAGGACTCTGGTCAAAGTACAAATCTAGTCTTAATCTACTGTTTTGTCAGAGTACATAGTCATAGTGCTGGTGTGTGTGCTTTATGTGTGTGTGTGTGTGTGTGTATGTATGTGTGTGTGTGTGCGTGTGTGTATGTATGTGTGTGTGTGTGCGTGTGTGTGCTTTATGTGTGTGTGTGTGTGTTTGTGTGTGTGTGTGTGTTTGTGTGTGTGTTTGTGTGTGTGTATGTGTGTGTGTGTGTGTGCGCGCGCGCGCGTGGGCGTATATGTGTGTGTGTGTGTGTGTGTGTGTGTGTTTGTGTGTGTGTGTGTGTGTGGCTGTCCTGCAGAATACTGTTGAAGGGCAATGGGACGTGTGACTCCTTAGATCCACCACTACCCATCGTCCACTGGTGAGTTCACATGATGTCCTGTGCAAGAAATATCTAATGACCGTTGCACACCCATTACATTGTACTGCAAATAGCGCAAAGAACCGTAAGAGTGCCCCACAATGGCAACCTATTCTTGGGCGCTGAGTACGTCTGGAATGTTATTTAATTTATTCCCGTAGCTATGCAGAAGACGTTACTTCAGTAACGTCTGGCACTAGCCAGGGTCCACACAGCTTTAATTTGGTGTTTGTTTGTGTCATGCCTGGCGCTATCCCGTATCTGTCCCGTACCGTACCATCAAAGACAGCTGGCCACAAACAGCTGGCCACAACATTCAAATAGGGCTTTCAAACGCAAGATCATAACGTGAAGCAACTTGGAAGAATGAGTATGAATGCGAAGTGTATCGGGGAATGCATGTTGGGCGATAGTGCGGGTTCGAACCCCAGGTGATGCCTTGAAAAAAAAAAGGAGAATTGATAAACTTATAACATCCTCATGCTTTTTTTGCCTAGGTCATCAAGGCGGTAGACGGTGTCGTATTACCCTCGCCCATACCTGTCCCGTACGGCTGGCCACAATATTCAAATAAGGCTTTGAAATGCAAGATCATAGAGAGGTTTTTCATTCCGAATTTCGGAATTATTTTCGGAATATAGCGGCAGCAGTCGAAAAAGTAGTCGAACTTTCGGAAGTGTGGTGGCGAAAGTGCATGGTTTTCCGAAAATGGATTTTCGGCTCTTTCATGTTTGGGAGTGCATATTTGAATACAAAAAGTGTATTTTTTATGTTTGTATTTTTGCTTTCTGCTGCTCTCGATTATTTCAAATTTTTCCACGTATGTAGTTTTGATTTTTCCTGGTTTTTGCTGCTCTCGCTGATCTCGCCATGTTGACTAATCTTCTCACACTCCATCACACTCTATCTTCCTTTGCCATGGTGCCTACTGACAGTACAAGACAGTAGTTCGCCAACCTCGTCTTCAGCTCAGTGTTGGATCACTTGGTCCACCATCAGTCCGTCCTCGTCTTCGAACCGCAGCTTGACCTGCGCACATGGATTTGATCCTGCTCAACCCCTTCGACGCTCTCCATTTTGTTTTGCATGTCAACCCTTGGAAACGAATTCGAATCAGATTTTCGGAATGCAAAACACTGAAAATGCCGTTTTTCGGCATGCGCTTTTTTCGGAAAAGCACAGTCGAAAATCATTCCGAAATTCGGAATGCAAAACCTCTCTCATAACTTGAAGCAACTTGGAAGAATTAGTATGTATACGAAGTGTATCTGGGGATGCTTGCAGGGCGATAGACTCATAATGCGGGTTTGAATCCCAGGTTATGTCTGAAAAAAACATCCCTATGCTTTTTTTTGTCTAGGTCATCAAGGCAAGAAAGCATAGCGTAGGGCCCTGAGCTTCCAAGCTCTCTCGTTTTTTGACCAATTGGCACACAAAGTGCGAGACAGGGGTAATAGCCAACCACGGCAAGAAAAGAAAAGAAATAGAGAAGAATGAAGGATAAACAAGCAGCCAGCAAGGAGGGAGCCTATTGAACTCCATTGTGTGATTGTGGAGAGCAGACATAAAGCTGGAAAGACATTTGGACATTGCAGCCAAGAGGTATAGGACAGAGACAGAGGAGAGTGGGTACATGAAGCTGAATTGGCATGAGGAAGTGAGAGACTATTACGAGTGGATCGGGACGGAGAAAACCAACTGAATATGGAGAGATGAGAGGAATTTTACCAAGGCGAATTCGGTGGATCAAAATAAAACGCTGTTTGCGATTATCTTGCAGTGGCTGAGTATTGCTGAATGATAGAGCTCAAGACTAGGAACTAAACGATGCTTGTTCGTGTGGTCTGTGGAGACATTGCACGTTTGTGCGGAAAGGTTCTCATTTTACCTGAGTCCCAGTGAATACAATATTGCAAACAAGTTCTTACCTCCAACTTTGCCATTGCAACCGCTGTGTGTGTATGTGTGCATGTGTGTGTGTGTGTGTGTGTGTGTGTGTGTGTGTGTGTGTGTGTGTGTGTGTGTGTGTGTGTGTGTGTGTGCATGTGTGTGCGCGTGCGTGCTTGTGTATGTGTGTTGATTTAGGGGTCCAGAAATTTCTCGGGAAGTTAAAGTCAACTGGCAATTGCCTTTCTCTACAGCAGACACAACAGACAAAGGAGCATCGATGGACATACATGCAACCAGTTCCCAAGTTCCTTTACTAGCAACAATACGGGTACGAGACTAAATGATTCATAGTGTGGCTTGTGTTCTCTAGTATTTTCTGTTTTTTTTTGTGATGTAGCATTGTTGGCATTGGCAACTTTGTGCGTTTTGTGCATGCATTGCACATGATGAAATTTGTTGAAAGGAAGGTGGTTGTTGGGACGGGGGAGGGGAGAGGGGGGAGGGACGCGGGGGTACGTTAAAGAATATAATTATGATCTGCAGCGCTTCTCTTGACTTGCACCTTTGCTGTCTTTGCCATCATACCGGTCTCAGCTGCAGAACCCGACGTTGAAGAATATCTCCAGGACGCACATTGTGATCCATTACCCAGTGGATGCGGTGCATAATGCCACCAAATACCCGCTATACATACTGAGTGCTATTCATGTAAGTTGCTGCTACCATGATGTGCTCTGACAATGCACCACTGTCTACTAAATTGAACCGTGAGTGTGTGCCGCATGTTGATGCTACTGTAGGCACTAAAGGCCAGATTTCAATGGAGACATTACAGATCGAGAGCTGACAATGTGACAGCAGAGAGCAGTAGGGTGGTGACAGGAGCGGATCCGGGGATCTCTATAGGGCAGTTCTACAGGGCAGTTCTACAGGGCAGTTTTTTTAAGCCAAAACTGAATACCTTATTTTCCGGAGCCTGTATAAACCGCACTGGAGTATAAGCCACACCCCCCATGTTTTTGCCACGAAATACGGACATCTATCCTATTTTATCACTGTTAATTTGATCATTGGGGTATAAGCCGCACCACCTTTTTGGGTGAATTTTAAGTTCCAAAGTGTAGCTTACACTCCGGAAAAATCCGGTAACTGATACATGTACATGAACATGCATATGGTTTCCAGAAGTTTGCAAAATTTAGGGGGGTTCACGGACCCCCCCGGTGAGTAAGCGAATGCCCTAGGGACTTCTCACATGACTACCTTCAGTGCTGTGCTGCACGCACTGTGCTGGTGCCCGAAGCCTAAACACAGAATGTCTTTGCCTGATCCGTATTGTCTCCAGGCAAGTGCAAAGCACATCGTTTGCAATTCTTCAACTCTAATGGGATTGACTGAGATGTTGGACAACCAGGTAAGTTAAGTGCATGTCATAGTATGCAATGCTTGGGAAAAATCACACATGAAGCTTTCCCAATACGGCAATAGCTTTCCCAATACAGCAATAGCTTTCCCAATACGGCAATAGCTTTCCCAATACGGCAATAGCTTTCCCAATACGGCAATAGCTTTCCCAATACGGCAATAGCTTTCCCAATACGGCAATAGCTTTCTTAAGTTCATGCACACTGTACATGTACCGTGACTGGCATTTCTATCCATGCCTTTGCTGCTGACATCACTCCCATCAATTCGTCATCATCTATAAAATATTGATCAACGTTCCTGAAACCCACGGCTCACATTTGCAGTCTCTCCAGAGTTTGAATCCCACCATTGCCACAGCTGCCACGACTCTTGTATCTGTCCTTTTCTTCTATCCCCCCCCCCCCCCCCCAGCCCTGTGCCATCCCCACACTCGGACACAAAACACTCGGACACACTCGATGACAAGCCATTGAGAAAAGACTTAATCACAAAGAGACACCGGAAACACAACTGGAAAAGACTGACTTTCCACACAACAGCAATACACGCATGCACACCAACAGCACAGCACGTATACGTGACGTACACACAAAGTTAACAGTATTCTATTCTCCCGTTCTTGTGTTCCTGTAACTGTAGATCGTCCTCAAGCCATCTTCCCCTTATTACAATGTCCAACATAGTACCAGCACCACTACCACCAGCAGCAGCAGCAGCAGCAGCAGCAGAGGCGAGAACACCGTTGGTGGCAGCTTGCCACTCTTTGACACACGGCATGAATCGCAGAATGCTGAAATCTACAAGGTAATGTGCTCAGGACGGTGGAACATGGAATTTTGCACGTGAATACATGAAACACCAGGTTGGGCAGGGTGAACACAAGAGAACGTCTGGTCTCGTTGTATTCATCCTGCAATGCCAAAGCAAGGGCTGCATACCGCAGACGAGCTGAATGGCATGCTGAGACCAGGCAAGAGGTCAATGCATATTGCTCTTCAGTTTGTGCAGGAACTTACCAGGGTACCAGGGTTGCGCAGTATTTTATTTGTTTATTTATTTATTCACAATCCTGTGACATACACGTAGTGCACCTGCCATGCACAAGGTAACTTCCAGCGTGTTATTGTCTTGGCTGTAATGTCCACCACCGTCTTTTTCTTTTGTGCTTGGGCAGAATTGCACAAGTGTCGCTGGATCTCCACTGTGCTATGCTGCGATTCACTGTGCTGTGCCGTCGATCAAAGCCAAGTCCGTCGTTGAACTGCGAGTACATTGGAATGTTCAAAAGCAATCACTGCTCATGGTATGTCTACTTGTGGATGCTTGTCGAATGTACAGATTGAGCGATGTCGAATGTACAGATTGAGCAATGTAGAATGTACAGATTGAGCAATGTAGAATGTACAGATTGAGCAATGTACCAGAGTCTGCAGATCAGTTCAGCAGGTAACGTTTAACCTGGTCAGGCATATCACACCTACTGTGTGCAATGTACCAGTACAATCTGTAGGTCAGTGCAGCAGGTAATGTGTTTATCCTAGCCAGGCATATCACCCGTACTGTGTGCAGGTAATGTGTTTATCCTAGCCAGGCATATCACCCGTACTGTGTGCAGGTAATGTGTTTATCCTAGCCAGGCATATCACCCGTACTGTGTGCAGGTAATGTGTTTATCCTAGCCAGGCATATCACCCGTACTGTGTGCAGGTAATGTGTTTATCCTAGCCAGGCATATCACCCGTACTGTGTGCAGGTAATGTGTTTATCCTAGCCAGGCATATCACCCGTACTGTGTGCAGGTAATGTGTTTATCCTAGCCAGGCATATCACCCGTACTGTGTGCAGGTAATGTGTTTATCCTAGCCAGGCATATCACGCGTACTGTGCTGTACTGTTGTGGGCTCATGGAACCATCCGGTCGGAGGTCAAGCAGCCCCAGTGCGCTGGCCATGCAGCCGTGAGTTCGCATGCCATCAACATGTGCACTGACTGTGCATGCAACGTTCTGCACGCTCTGTTCTGAGGGCACCGGCTCCGTCATTTGACCGGATTTCCATGTCCATGACAGTACATTTGATACAACATTTTACATTGATTTGAATGATTCATTTTCGTACTTGTTTGCAGACTTTACTACACGTGAGATGCATGTCTTGTCTGCTTGTCTGTGTGCCCATTATATTGCGTACTGTAAGACCAGTAATGTTAACGAACATTTAATTCTAACGAGTTAACGAATTTGAAAGAATCGTTAACATTTGAAGTCGTTATGTGCAAAACGATATGTACATGTACAGTCATTGACCGGTTTTGGGAAAAGAATCGTTAGAATTTCATCTCGCTAACCCACAAAAATCCGGAGATCGTTAACTTTAATTGACGTTAAAATATCTGGTCTTACAGTAGCCCAATATCTTACCTGTGTGTGTGTGTGTGTGTGTGTGTGTGTGTGTGTGTGTGTGTATGTGTGCATGTGTGCATGTGTACATTGTGTACATGTGTGTGTGTGTGTGCATGTGTGTATGTGTGTCCGCAGCTGCCCAAGTCCGAAAATAGTAGTATAGATTTGATCGTCTCCATGGGAACGAAAACGGCTAGGAAGACAGACGATATGTGGACGTATTCTGAGGTATTTTGAGTTTCTGTGTACCCATATGTATGTACGCGAGTGTATGCCTGCCTGAGGCTCTTTCCTTCTGTTGCCCTTGATCTAGAGGCTTCTCCATTCTTTTATTTTTGTGAAGTTCAGTAACATGCAGGCTAGTAGGTCACCAAACATGCTGGGCCTGGTTGGAAGCAATGGTCTAGAAATACCTGCAGTGCTATTTTCACCAGACATGCTGGGCCTGGTTGGAAGCAATGGTCTAGAAATACCTGCAGTGCTAACTTATTTTCATCAGACATGCTGGGCCTGGTTGGAAGCAATGGTCTAGAAACACCTGCAGTGCTAACTTATTTTCATCAGACATGCTGGGCCTGGTTGGAAGCAATGGTCTAGAAACACCTGCAGTGCTAACTTATTTTCATCAGACATGCTGGGCCTGGTTGGAAGCAATGGTCTAGGAATACCTACAGTGCTATTCTCACGGAACATTGCTGAAATATCTATACACATGTACTATTAATGCAGGAAACTGTTGCAAAGGTTACATGGATAAAAACGGCCAGTCGGTTTAACTGGGACAGAATGTTTTGCTGAGTGAGTGGCCTTGTTGTTTTTGTATGGTGTGCAAGTGCCTGTTACCTGTTCGCTTTGATCATCGTGTACTTGTTCAGAGATCAACACACTTTGTGCTAGTACAGTCACCACCAGCACAGCAGCTGGAGGTCATGATCATCATCGGAACAATCTTCCTGGAGACATTCCTCATTGTTGTCGGCTTCCTATTTCTGTCTTGGGTAAGTGGAAGGAGTACACGTATGATGCTGGATACCAGACAGCAACATCTGGTGTCCCACATCACCCTGGGGATTATGTGTGATGTATGATGGTGACAGTTGACAGATGCGTGGAACCCATTATTTGGGAGACATGCGACCTGTATTATTATTATTATGATGATGGTGACAGATGACTGTATTGTTGATGCCATATTACTCACTGATTGATGTCATGTTGATCATGATTGTATGTAAATTTGGTTGATTGTGTCAAGAATCGCGTTCCGATCATACTGACTTAAATCGACGGACACACCACTCCTGTGCCCTTTTAACAGTTGACCATTTGCTTACTACAAGTAGACAAGAAGTAGTAGTAGACTAGGTATTTAGTTAGCTTGATGCTGCATTTGATGCTGCATTTGATGCTGCATTTGATGCTGCATTTGATGCTGCATTTGATGCTGCATTTGATGCTGCATTTGATGCTGCATTTGATGCTGCATTTGATGCTGCATTTGATGCTGCATTTGATGCTGCATTTGATGCTGCATTTGATGCTGCATTTGATGCTGCATTTGATGCTGCATTTGATGCTGCATTTGATGCTGCATTTGATGCTGCATTTGATGCTGCATTTGATGCTGCATTTGATGCTGCATTTGATGCTGCATTTGATGCTGCATTTGATGCTGCATTTGATGCTGCATTTGATGCTGCATTTGATGCTGCATTTGATGCTGCATTTGATGCTGCATTTGATGCTGCATTTGATGCTGCATTTGATGCTGCAATATCATGTAATACGCACCCATTCCATATTCACCCACATACAATTGGCCATCTACATAAGTGGTGAATATTGCTGAATATTCACCGCTTATATTCACCACTTACCTCATATTCACCACTTCTCGATACTTACTGAAGTGTAAAGAGAGCAGTACTCGGTGCTGCGCTTGATTCCTCTTCAGTCAGCGCACCTGAGCTGCCGAGTGCCCTAGAAAATTTCTACGCTAACTTCCGTAAACAGGACTTTTCTGAGTACAAACGAAATTCCTTGCTTGCCATTGCCGCTGGATCCGCATGTGACCAGGTGCTGACAAGTCATCAACCAACAGTGAGCATTTTCACAGACGGAGCGTTCCAGCGAACAAACAAGGTTTTGGACGCTCAACATGTCAATGGCCCGATAATTGCGGATCAAGCGGCAAGCCAGAAATTTCGTTTGTACTCAGAACAGCACTGTTCACGGACGTTAGCGTAGAATTTTCCTAGGGCACACAACAGCTCCGAAGCGCTGCCTGAAAAGAAAAGAAGTGAGGGTAGAACCGCTTGGCTCGCTGTTTATAAACCGACTCCCGAATTGGCGCCATGATCGCGGATTGGTCAAATCTTCGCGTGAAACGAAACCTCTCTCGGATTGGTCAAATCTTCGCGTGAAACGAAACCTCTCCAATGATTGGCTCCCGCCACAAACTGACAAAGCTGCACGAGCGTGTTCTCCATGGTGATTGGCACGAGCGTGTTCTCCAAGGTCGTCACCTCCCATGCCACATGCACCAGTACGTGTACACGATCGATTGAACAAGATTCTGAACACGCTGCCCTCCGATTCATGCAAGAACACGCCAGTCGGTTTACGATACTGAAGCAACAACGACTTACGTTAGTTCTGCGTACATGTACATGTATGACCAACAGGACTCGTTTGTTGGGTTTTAGGGACGAGAGGGTGAATATGGAGAGGTATAAGTCTAATACATAGGCACCCATTCCCAGGTGTCCCGGAAACACCACTTTTGATGATTCTCTCTCCACGCTCTCTACTCTCTATCTCTCTCTCTCTCTCTCTCTCTCTCTCTCTCTCTCTCTCTCTCTCTCTCTCTCTCTCTCTCTCTCTCTCTCTCTCTCTCTCTCTCTCTCTCTCTCTCTCTCTGTCTCTCTCTCTCTCTGTCTCTCTCTGTCTCTGTCTCTCTCTGTCTCTCTCTGTCTCTCTCTGTCTCTGTCTCTCTCTGTCTCTCTCTGTCTCTCTCTCTCTCTCTCTCTCTCTCTCTCTCTCTCTCTCTCTCTCTCTCTCTCTCTCTCTCTCTCTCTCTCTCTCTCTCTCTCTCTCTCTCTCTCTCTCTCTCTCTCTCTCTCTCTCTCTCTCTCTCTCTCTCTCTCTCTCTCTCTCTCTCTCTCTCTCTCTCTCTCTCTCTCTCTCTCTCTCTCTTGATGATTCTCTCTCCACGCTCTCTACTCTCTCTCTCTCTCTCTCTCTCTCTCTCTCTCTCTCTCTCTCTCTCTCTCTCTCTCTCTCTCTCTCTCTCTCTCTCTCTGTCTCTGTCTCTGTCTCTGTCTCTGTCTCTGTCTCTGTCTCTCTCTCACTCCTTTTTGTTCTTCTCATCATGTATATTTAGCGTGGATTTTTCAACTCAAAAACCTATGACGAGATGAAGAAGAGACAGCCCCTCTCTAACCCGCAAGACGACTACATTTCACAACAAGATCAGCGCGAGGCTTCACAACACGGCACAGCTTTGACCAAAGACAAGCTACCGCTGCCATCACCGGCTCAGAGATGTATTCACGAGATGAGACCAAGAATGCAGTGTTTGCCAGCTAAACACAATGGGACATCATCGATGAACAGCATACTAGGAGATTCGCGCAGGTCCACTCCTGTGGGTTATCCCATTACTGAAGAAACAACCTTAGCTGAAGATATCTTGTATTCGGAGTGCATGCCGAGACAACATCGTCACCACATCATACACTCCGCCAGCAAGGAGGTGGCCCAAGCCAGCCGTGATGTCAACACTGGTGTTTGCGCGGTCTCTGTCACTGCTTCCATTGCAATCCGTGCTGCTGTTCTCAATGCTACTGACAGTCAGCATGCTGCTGCTGCAGTGCATGGAAGCAGCCCACGCCAAGCTATCACTCCATTCTCTAAATCACCGACTAGCCCACGCCAAGCTATCACTCCATTCTCTAAATCACCGATTAGCCCACGCCAAGCTATCACTCCATTCTCTAAATCACCGATTAGTCAACGCCAAGCTATCACTCCATTCTCTAAATCACCGATTAGCCCACGGCAAGCTATCACTCCATTCTCTAAATCACCGATTAGTCAACGCCAAGCTATCACTCCATTCTCTAAATCACCGATTAGTCAACGCCAAGCTATCACTCCATTATCTAAATCACCGATTAGTCAACGCCAAGCTATCACTCCATTCTCTAAATCACCGATTAGTCAACGCCAAGCTATCACTCCATTCTCTAAATCACCGATTAGCCAACGAGATGCTCAACTGAACTCTCTACAGCAGCAGCATCATGTACCACCAGTGAGCTCTGCCCAACATCCTGTCACATCATCCGAACAAAGCAGTACTTCGGCAGCTAGTACTGATCGGGAATCAGTTTGAAGTACTGGCATGTTAAATGCCCATGGTTGGTAGAGATGATGGAACCTTTGCTCTACAATAACATCCTTATGGGGCTTTTGCTGTTCAATAACATTCTTCTGGGACTTCTGTTGTGCAAGAACATCCTTGCAAATGAGCCTCCAGATCCATGACAGGTGGTTTAAGGCTTTAAGCCTTTTTTGAACTGTTAACTGCCAACATTCCTGCAATCCAGCCAATAACTGAGTAAAAAACGTCAGTAGCTCTGGCTGCTACAAAATGGGCTTTTCTCTACATTGCATCAAAACAATACATGAACCACCTTCTTTTTTTTGGATCTGGAGGCTCAAACAGAAACTCGATGCATTTCGTTCGTTCTTTTATAATATCTTTGTCAAACTTTCGTTACTTAAGCCATATCAAGATTAAATTTTTATCAATACACCATGCATGAGCAAGCAGCAACAACGCTCACAGATACACAGATACATTCAAAAATACTACCGCAGAGGAAAATGTAAAAATCTAAAATTTCACCCGAAGCCCGACTCCTGGAATGATTACTATTATAGGCTACCCGGGGGGGGAACTTCACACCTGAAATGGTCAACCACCCGAAGTCAATCACAGTTCAGCTTCTTTTTTTTTGCTTGCTGATGGCTGTGTTTCCGAGAAGAAACAAAGCCGGAAAATTCTACCGGAGAAAATCTAAAATTTCACATTACGGCATGATCAGAAGGTAATACTGGCGGCAAACAAATGCATCAAACGCATCAGATGAGATAGAACCTGGAGGGAGGGATGTGGGCAGCAGGAAGCACAATTCTCAAAATGGAAAGTGTGAAATGTTGTTTCTGAATCGCCAGCAACCAGAATTGTTACTGATTTGATCTACTATGAAGGGTAATGAAAAAATCCTATAAGAAATCCGCTGTGGATGCCAGCAGCGCCAAAAATGAGGAATAGAAAAACGGCCGTTTCATTTCCCTGGACACTGTGGACACTCTGTACACTGTGGACACTGTGGATCTCTGTACAAACAAGATGGCCAAACCTATGTTAATAATAGTGAAGAAAAAGTGCTTATTTTCCATACGGCAATACCGGCTTTGCATAGAAATATGTACTTTCTAAAACAAATACCTTATCTGCGCCATCAAGTAGAAGCCATCAAGCAGAAGGGGCAAACGGTCTCTCCTCAGTCAGTGCCTTGGAATGGATACATTGCTGAACCCAGTCGGACGTGACACAGTGAAACTTGCGCTTGCGTCCACGGCGTATCTCATTCAGGCCTGCCAGTCGGCTTAGGTCACTGAGTCAAACAATGAAAAAAAAACGATGACCCGGGAAAAAAAACGAGTTCAGAAGACACGCAACAGGGAAACATCAACATCAGGGGCAGCAGCAGCAGCAGTAGCAGCAGCAGTAGCAGCAGCAGCATCACCACCAGCAGCAGCAGCAGCAGTAGCAGCAGCAACAGCCACAGGGGCAACACACAGGGGGATATCACGAGGCAAGAGAGGTGTAATAAACATCCACTTCACTAACTATGGGTCTAGTAGCAGAAAGGTACAAAACATGCCAGAATACATAATTATTCTAGCATAGCATCAAGCGAGAATCAGCTTTCAAGGACCATTCCCATACAAATTCTATGCAGAAATGGACGAGCAGAAGGGATCCGCTCTATACACACTCATGTTAAAAGTCACCAAATCAGTGGAAAGAATGTGATACTAATGTATTGTACGGGTGAGATAACCCTGAACATGTCCAATGCGCTAGCCCCAATAGTGTAGTGTATGGATGAGAGCATTCGTACAGAGACTTCCCATTACCCTGATGATGGACCAGGCCCCAAAATTTGGTGTAATGTAAATTTTAATTTGAATCGCAGTAAAGAGACCGTTTTTGGAGTTTGGAGTTGAGAAGTGAAGTTTCTTAAATGTGCAAGTGGCTGCGTTGGAGTTTGCAGACAATTAGAAGGCTTCCAATTCTTACTAAATGCACCCCTGCCACACAATGTTACTGTATCAACAAGGTAACACCATAGTAACACGTACTTCAAAATACTCAATGTGTCAACAAAGTGACGTCATAGTCACTTACTGTATCAATACGATGACGTCATAGTTACATCAACTCACCTTTCATGGCAAACGACATGACTGACATTGTCGTCCACATTATCACTGACAGCACCGCCATGGAAACGGATCTCCAGTTCTGTCAACCGCAGTGGAGAGGTGGATAAGAGCTGCCGAAGAGAATGGCAAGACAGGGGAAAGAAAAGGCAGCATGGAAAAGGGTCATAACCAACTACTTAAATTATACCATTGTACTTATAGTGCCTGCCTTCAGTGTTTGCAGGAGTGATGGGAAAGAGTTTGTCAGCTGAAACACTTCAGTGTTTGCAGGAGTGATGGGAAAGAGTTTGTCAGCTGAAACACTTTAGTGCTAAAAACCTTGCCCTTATTTATGATGTGGTTACATGTTGCTCAGATTCGAATATTACTGCAGCTCGTTTGTTCAGCTCGTTTGTTCAGCAGACTGTGTCCGAGTATGCAGTCGTGCCCTTTCAAAGATGTGCCTCCTATAGTCGATCGATCCATGACTACTGTATACTATCAAGTATGGCTCCAAATCAGCTTCTCATCACATACACACGTACATCTAGTCATATGATTCTCAGTATTCAACACATGAATTAGTTACACGGTATTTTAGTCTCAGTTTCCATGGACACAATGGGTTTCCATGGACACCATGGCAAAGAGGTGTTGGAATAGAAGGATCCATGAGCGGGATTCGAACCCAGCACCCCTGTCTTTCTGGGACAGTGCCCTGCCGATTAGGCTACCGGGGATCACACACGCACGCACACACGCACTCACGCACACACACACACCCACACACACACACATGTGGCTCCTTGCCAAAATATCACAGGCGCCAAAATTAGCCGTTCTACAGGACCATCTAGAAACAGCAGCAAAGCCAGGGCATGACCAGGGCATAACCAGGGCATGACCAGGGCATAACCAGGGCATAACCAGGGCATAACCAGGGCATAACCAGGGCATAACCAGAGCGTAACCAGGGCATAACCAGGGCATAACCAGGGCATAACCAGGGCATAACCAGGGCATGACCAGGGCATGACCAGGGCATGACCAGGGCATGACCAGGGCATAACCAGGGCATAACAGTACAGTGTGGCTCCTCACTCAGGTTGCGTTTGTTCGGTGCCATTCCGCCACCATTCTAAAGTCATTCCGCCGTGTTTTGATTCCGGAGCGTTTGTTTGATGCACTGGACAGCGTTTGTTTGGTGCAATTCCGATTCCGGTCGCGGAATGAAGGGGGCAGAATCGATTCTGGCGATTCCTAAGAAAAAGTGGAATGAGGTCTCATTCCGAGCGGAATGAAAATGTGCGGATCGTTGCTGCATACCTCCACAACAAAACTTCAAACGCGATTATCGATACAGAAATGTTGGCGAACATCGTCCAGGTACTGTAACCTCGGGGACGGCATAGTAACTTGTTCGTGGTATTTTGACCCTTCGCTGCCTGAGAAAGTGTTCGCCCGGGATCGTTGATGAACTGGAAATATGCCGTCGCACCTCCGCTCTTCATCGTCGTCGAGCAGGGCCTCTAGAATCACAAGGAGGCGAGCCAGAACAAAGTGACCCAAAGAGGCACCGAGCCTGCCACTTCACTTCTTCTTACAACAGTGCCTCGTCTCTGTCAAATAAACACGAGAGCTAGAGACGTTTCTGTGACTGATAAGAGGTCGTATAGCATGATGCCAAACGCCGCCTGCAGGCACCCTAGTTACGATCGCTCGTTGATCTACGCCGTGTTTGGCCGCTCCTTCATCATCATGACTGTCGTAGGGACATGCAGAAACTTACGGAAGCAACTACCAGGACTGGAATGTAGTAGTCTTCGCAAGGCTGCAATTTCAATATTTGTGCAAACAACAGGTAATACGTTTCCAGAGTGGTGCAAAACATTTGCCAGATTCTCGAATCCATGCCAGCGCGTTTGTTTGCTACGCTCATTCCGATTCCGCGATGGGTACCGACGTCATTCCATGCCCATCCGGGAATGACCGAACAAATGCAACCTCAGCATTTACTCCTTACATAGACCTTATGACATCACAATTGCATCACTGTTACATCATCATTGCGTCACCGTTACATCACCATTACATCACTATCACCTCACTATTACATCACTAGTACATCACCAATGTATCACATCATTGCATTACTTACCGTATCACACTGGCCAATAGCAGCACATTTGTCCACGTAGAACCTACAATCACACATGGCAACAACACAACATAATGCATTGATTCAGAAAGGCGATAGATTCACACAGTAGAACCAGCACAGATTGGGGCAACATCAACACAAAACTAAGTACTGGCATGGACTGGTATTTCTGTTAGATAACTAGAATCTATGCACTCAGTGAGTATGTGAATGAAGTCAGCATTGTCCTGGGTCTAGCACACATGTCCTGACATTGTCCTGGGTCTAGCACACATGTCCTGACATTGTCCTGGGTCTAGCACACATGTCCTGACATTGTCCTGGGTCTAGCACACATGTCCTGACATTGTCCTGGGTCTAGCACACATGTCCTGACATTGTCCTGGGTCTAGCACACATGTCCTGACATTGTCCTGGGTCTAGCACACATGTCCTGACATTGTCCTGGGTCTAGCACACATGTCCTGACATTGTCCTGGGTCTAGCACACATGTCCTGACATTGTCCTGGGTCTAGCACGCATGTCCTGACATTGTCCTGGGTCTAGCACGCATGTCCTGACATTGTCCTGGGTCTAGCACGCATGTCCTGACATTGTCCTGGGTCTAGCACGCATGTCCTGACATTGTCCTGGGTCTAGCACACATGTCCTGACATTGTCCTGGGTCTAGCACGCATGTCCTGACATTGTCCTGGGTCTAGCACGCATGTCCTGACATTGTCCTGGGTCTAGCACGCATGTCCTGACATTGTCCTGGGTCTAGCACACATGTCCTGACATTGTCCTGGGTCTAGCACGCATGTCCTGACATTGTCCTGGGTCTAGCACGCATGTCCTGACATTGTCCTGGGTCTAGCACACATGTCCTGACATTGTCCTGGGTCTAGCACACATGTCCTGACATTGTCCTGGGTCTAGCACACATGTCCTGACATTGTCCTGGGTCTAGCACACATGTCCTGACATTGTCCTGGGTCTAGCACACATGTCCTGACATTGTCCTGGGTCTAGCACACATGTCCTGACATTGTCCTGGGTCTAGCACACATGTCCTGACATTGTCCTGGGTCTAGCACACATGTCCTGACATTGTCCTGGGTCTAGCACACATGTCCTGACATTGTCCTGGGTCTAGCACACATGTCCTGACATTGTCCTGGGTCTAGCACACATGTCCTGACATTGTCCTGGGTCTAGCACACATGTCCTGACATTGTCCTGGGTCTAGCACACATGTCCTGACATTGTCCTGGGTCTAGCACGCATGTCCTGACATTGTCCTGGGTCTAGCACACATGTCCTGACATTGTCCTGGGTCTAGCACACATGTCCTGACATTGTCCTGGGTCTAGCACGCATGTCCTGACATTGTCCTGGGTCTAGCACGCATGTCCTGACATTGTCCTGGGTCTAGCACACATGTCCTGACATTGTCCTGGGTCTAGCACACATGTCCTGACATTGTCCTGGGTCTAGCACACATGACGTCATGACATTGTCCTGGGTCTAGCACACATGACGTCTCGAGTCTTGAGTTGAACAGTTTGTAAACACAGGCGAGTAAATGGGGGGGGGGGGGAGGGAGTACACTCCCCGATTTTCTTGCCACATTTATGTAGGAGTCTTCCATGATGAGCATCCGTTTGCTTTTGGAGAATCCTTTAAAAATAAATAAACAACAACATGATCTCTTCTTGGCCACAGGCCATTGTGTGAAGAACAGATTTCAAACATGCACTGCAGCTAGGTTCACCTCAGTCCGCGCAGCAGACCAGTGCTTGAGGCCTCTCCAAGATAGCGCTGCTCAATCTCCAGAATCTCATCTTGTGACACAGCCACATCATGCCTCTGTTCACCAGTAGCAACGGCGCCAGAGAACACAAAGCAAACGAAACACACACACACACACACAATAATCCAGAGCAATTAGAGCAAACACACACACACACACACAGCATGAGATGATAAGACAGATGAACACAGGAACTGGAATGAGTCCTGACATGAATTGAAAGTTTGCAGTAAGGTTGATGGACCCATGACCGTCTTGTTTATGCATTCTCCGTATTGACCATCATGACTCCATGCACTTCAAGAGTCAATCAGTATTAGGCCACACCAAGTTAAGTTATTTCTACGTTTCGCGTCACCACGCAGGCACGTTTTCGAATCATTGCCAAGAAAAAAAGGCACCCAAACGAGTCAATCGATGGCTGTTCTGGCGAACTTTCTCTAGCCAGTATGGCAGATCAGCTTCTCGATAATCTTGCATTCTAGGCGATGGTACGTAAAAAGTGTGAGTGATGAAAATTCTTTCCAAGCCATCCGGGCTGCTCAAGTTTTTCCAGGATTGTTGTGATGGAGAGGAACTCCACTCGACTCGTGTCAAAGAAGTCATCCATGAAATATGTTGCAGTATCGCTCCAGCCCAGTCTGCCAGCTGTGCTGTGCCGACTTTTGTCGTTTTTGACAAGTGAAAGTACAAACTGATCTGAGTGTATATATGTTGTAGAAGAACATGGCTCAGTACACTTAGAATAGAGTTTTTGTTTTTTCTTCTGTTTTTTCTTTTTTCTTTTTTCCCGCCCGCCCGCGTGCCTTTTCAAGGAAATTCCAAAGCGAAGCATAGAATTAACTTGGTGTCGGCTTTAGGAGGGAGGGCGTGACAGGGTGGCGAACCAGTGGCTATTGAGCATCGCGTGAGGGTGTTCTCAAAAACAATGCTGATGGTGTAGCTAGTGCAAAGTGCAACCACTCCATCTTGAAGAGGTGTGTGACACAACTGCATCCCCCCCCCCCCCTAGGGTATACACACAACACGGCTATGAACAAACCCCACATAGCTAGCACTGTTCATACTTTGAAGTACACACAACACGAATACTGTAAAAGCCATTATTCTAACGAGGCGCATATATAACGATTTCCCAAAATTGACTAGTTTACGTGTACCAAAGGTAACGATTCTCACTCATTCTCAACGCTCAATAGGACAGTATATGTACCGATTTCTGTATAACGATTTTTATTTTAATAACAGATTTCTCCTCGTTAACTCGTTAGAGTTAGCACTTCGTTATAATTATATATGGCTTTTAGAGTATGAACGAAGCCTGTATAATAGCCAGCAGCAGCAGCAGCATACCTGTTCTCCAATAGTTTGAAACGCAGTATGCATCTGCTCTTCGGTGATATCCTCGGTGAAGTTATCACCATACTGGTCAAACTCCTCCGCAAACTTGCTAGCTGTGGACGGTGATGAGTGTAACATGTGACCGGGTAGGAACGGGAGTAACTTCTTACCATCCTGCTCACACACACACATGTGCATGTACACATACACGCACACACATACACACGCACACGCACACGCACACGCACACGCACACGCACACGCACACACACACACACACACACACACACACACACACACACACACACACACACACACACACACACACACATGTGCATGTACACATACACATACAGACACACACACATACACACACACACACATACACACATACACACACACACACACACACACACACACACACACACGCACACATAACAAACACAAAACAGTGCGAACAAATAATTACAGAACACAATGGCGTCTAGAACAGTACACAACACCTTACACAAAAATATATCAGATCACCAATTCATAACAATGTTTCGGGGATCCACTCTTATTTCCACAAGAAAGCACTGAGAATGTGCTAGCTTGTCAAGGTAACATGATTGTGCCGGCTGGCAGACCACCACCCTCAAGGATCAAAGGCACAGATTTAGCTCCAAAATGGTGGGAGCTGAGTAGATCACACCCACCACCAAAGTGGTCAAAGACTGAAAATCCTATTTGCTGCATCCATGTACCTAACAAAGCAAGGACAAAAAGGTAATGTGCCTCTGTATTGTGATGGAAGGTGTTGGAGTGTTTTGAACAAAAGACTCTAGAGAACTGCACCCGGCGCCTCACATAACGAATAACGTAGGCTCAGTCGGACCAGAGAATGTACTGGAACTGTGGGAAAAGAAGCCGAAGAGGGGTAACCAACTTCAAACCCGACTGTGTACAACTCACCAAACATGCCCGTAGCCATGACAACTGAACCACGTCATACGTGTCCATACTGTAACGGACACACAGACACACAGACAGACACACAGACAGATACACCCGCGTGCACACATAGATACACCCACACCCACGGACGCACACATGCACACAAGCACACACACACACACACACACACACACACACACACACACACACACGCACACACACACACACACACACACACACACACACACACACACACACACACACACACACACACACACACACAGCAATACCAAGGCGAAAGACAACTGAAACACAAATCATTGACACTAATCGTAGCATTCAACAGTAACCACACCAACACGGCAATATTCCAGTGACACTCCATGTCACTAACACTACACTCCATGTCACTAACACTACATTCCATGTCACTAACACTACACTCCATGTCACTAACACTACACTCCATGTCACTAACACTTGCAGTGCAAACAAAACACTTGACGCAAGTCAACAAGAAGAAAACTAGAGTTTCAGGGAAAGAACTGCCAGCAGATCATAGCTGGTACCCGGGCTACACTCTCAGTCTGAGTCTGCAAACAAACTGAACTGCTTGACTGCTACATGTTGTTAAAACCCTCTACTACAATCATTGATAGTGCAATTACAGCATAGCAGGGTGATAGCACTGGGCCATGTGAGATGCCCGTAGAACAATGCCTTCCCAAGCAAGTTCGTCCTAATCGTCAGTGCTGTCTAATAGGGAGTTGTCAGTCTAATAGGGAGTTGTCAGTCTAATAGGGAGTTGTCAGTCTAATAGGGAGTTGTCAGTCTAATAGGGAGTTGTCAGTCTAATAGGGAGTTGTCAGTCTAATAGGGAGTTGTCAGTCTAATAGGGAGTTGTCAGTCTAATAGGGAGTTGTCAGTCTAATAGGGAGTTGTCAGTCTAATAGGGAGTTGTCAGTCTAATAGGGAGTTGTCAGTCTAATAGGGAGTTGTCAGTCTAATAGGGAGTTGTCAGTCTAATAGGGAGTTGTCAGAGGCTCTGTAACAGAGAGCATACTGTTACATACAAAATGCTATGCACCCTCCCTCCCCCCCCCCCCCCCACACACATACACACATTTCCCCAACAAATACACACGCATTTACACCACAAACAAAGTACACGAGCTGCAATACTCGTCACATGTAGTGGCTGAACACATACCTGATCACACTCCGTACTCTGGCCACTATCCGGTCTGCCAGCACACAGAATGTCTTGTCCGTTGGACTCTGCACCAGTTTTCCACCATGCTACAACATAACACAGCACACATGTACACATACACAGATATGATCATGCACACAGACAGGAACATGACCACATGCAGTGGCAGCAAACACAGTGCTGGCAACTGAAATCCGACTCCCTGGGCGGTGCAGCGCGCCGCCCAGGGAGTCGGATTTCAGTTGCCAGCACTGTACATAAGTATACAGGTAGATGCACGGAAGGATAGACTGGAGAATAAAGACAGTTTCACACCTTCTCTCCTTTATCTGTCACCACTAAATTTCTGTCCCAGCACTAGCTAAGTGTGTGTATGCGTGTGTGTGTGTGCAAGCGCACGCGCGTGTGTGTGTGTGTCTGTGTATGTGTGTATGTGCATGCGTGTGTGTGTGTGTGTGTGTGTGTGTGTGTGTGTGTGTGTGTGTGCATCATCTGGCCAACGGCAAGTCGGCTGGTTCGTCTCTCATCGTTGCGGAGCTGTTGAAGCACGGCTTTACTGTTCTTCGGCCACACCTGGATGCACTCTTCTCCACATGCTGGTCAGCGTCATCTGTGCCTCAGGAGTGGAAAGATGCTGTGCTCGTCCCTATTCCAAAAAAAGGTGACTTGAGTAAGTGTGACAACTGGAGGGGAATAGCCTTATTGGACGTCGTCGGGAAGCTTCTCGCACGTGTTATTCAGGACCGGCTGCAACCTCTTGCTGAGGCACATCTCCCTGAAAGCCAATGTGGTTTTCGGCGCGGGCGATCCTGCACAGATGCCATCTTTTGCGTGCGACAGGTAGTCGAGAAGGCATTCGAGCACCGCTGTAAGGCCTTTCTCGTTTTCATCGATCTCCGCAAGGCGTACGACTCGGTACCGCGCGCTGCACTGTTGCTGGCCCTTGAGGTGTATGGTGTGCCTGGGTCACTCATCCAGCTGATTGACGGCTTCCATTCAGGCATGCAGGCTGCTGTTCGGGTTGATGGTGATGTGTCTGGGAACATCTCGGTTGAGAATGGTTTGCGGCAAGGGTGCGTTATGGCCCCACTGTTGTTTAACCTGTACTTTGGTCTTGTGCTGGAAGCATGGCGTTCAGCTATAGCAGCAGCTGGTGTTAACGGTGTGTCCCTGATATCTTCAATCCATGGAAGTGGCAATCTATTTCCCAAGCGAACCCGTCAAACTGGCACGACATCGGTCAACGACCTGGAGTTTGCAGATGATGCAGCACTACTTGCACCATCCCGTGAGTCAGCTCAACTGGCTTTGGAGCTGTTCAGCAGCATTGCTTCTTCCTTCGGCTTGACTCTGAGTACAGCGAAGACCAAGTTCATGGCCGTTGGTGCAAATTTATCATGTGCTGACCGCCTTCCGCTCTTTGTTGGTCCGGAGGAGATCGAAAGTGTCAAATCCTTTGTGTATCTTGGCTCTGTGATAACTGCTGACACCCGCTCATCTGCAGATGTGGCCAGAAGACTCGGTAAGGCAGCGGCAGCTTTCGACCTTATGCGCCGTGTCTTTCTTGACCGAAACCTTTCCATCGCCACCAAGCGCCATCTTTACGATGTTTGCGTTCTGTCCACATTGCTCTATGCCTGTGAGTGCTGGACTCCGCTGAAGAGAGACATGGTTGCCATCAACAACTTCCACCACCGCTCCCTCAGGTTCATTCTGGGTGTATCCCGGCTCGATCAACAGCTGCAGCATGTCAACAACCAGGAGCTGCGAAGACGCTGGGGTGATATGGCACTGCCATCTGATACCGTCAGACACCGCCGTCTGCAGTGGCTTGGGCATGTCGCCAGAATGCCAGATAACCGGCTTCCGAAGCTGATACTGTTTAGCTTCTTCTCAGATCCACGCCCAGCCTGTGGGCCACGACTGCGATGGAAAGACCTCGTCGCACGTGATCTTCGTTTCGGTGGCATAGTGAATTGGCTCACTTTGGCTCAGGATCGCCCAGCATGGCGCGAGGCAATTGCAAAGACTCCGGATGATCTCGTGGAGTGTAACAACAACAAAGTCACCTGCAAGGTTTGCAACCGATCATTCACTGCTCGTGGGATTCACCGTCACAAGTGCTCAGCTGTACGGTCCTTACCTGTTGCCCAGCAGCCTGGGGCCCGTCACTGTGGAGTTTGTGACCGCTGGTTTCAAAGCGCTGGCGGTTTTGCAGTTCATCGTTGTGTGGAGCGTCAGACATCGGACGGAATACCAGCTGTTTCAACGAGATGCAGCCTGAATTTGGATGCTGCCAGCACCATTGCTCGATCTGTGATCGCTGCATGAAGAGTCAGGCTGGTTTTAACCGCCATAATTGTACTCGAGGCAAACGACTGCGAAAGGACCAGAGGACTAATCTGCCCATTCAATGCAGCCTATGTAACGAACGATTCTCCCGCCCGCAGGACCTCACCCGCCACCGAAGACAGAAACACTAGCTATGTGTAGAACGGTCCCCTTTCACCTCAATTATTCTCCTTGTTTCTTTTTTCTCGCTGTTGTCTCCCGCTTCTGGGAGCGACGTGGCCATTTTGTGGCAGTTGTACATAGTAGTAGTGTGTGTGTGTGTGTGTGTGTGTGTGTGTGTGTGTGTGTGTGTGTGTGTGTGTGTGTGTGTGTGTGTGTGTGTGTAGCATTATGGTGATAATGCAGATTAATGGGTGCACGCAGCTTTGTGCTACCACTCAATCTATGCTGCTATGTTTAATAGTGCTGTTACTGCATGCTCATGCTTTGCTGCTGGCTATGGTCTGCTGGCTATGGTCTCTGTGCGGCTTGGCACTCTGCATGATATTGAATGCATCTCTCTACGTGACATTGAACGCTCGCCTCCGATGTGGAAAGCGTGTGGCGTTCATGCGTGTTGCTCGCCTCCGATGTGGAAAGCGTGTGGCGGCGTTATGATGGCGTTTGCTTGTAGCGCTCAACGTGGGTGGCATGCATCGTTGCATGTCTTGCTAGAGTTTGCTCTGCTATATATTTCGATCCGTTCTGTGCGACAATCATTCTTGCTTACTCGTAGTGTTTCACCCTCCCACCTCCCATTTCTCATCACTAATTTACTTTGATAAAGTGAATAAACAGGGTGTTGGCCACGCTCATTTCCGGCTACTCAGGGCCTCGGTCGCCGTCCCTCGGACGCAGACTCTTGTAGATACTTGGCTCCGCCAACATTCTGCTCCGGCAGTGTCTACCCGGCCGACCCTGAATCCTCTCTCGTAGATACTTGGCTCCGCCAACATTCTGCTCCGGCAGTGTCTACGTATTTCTTTCCGTAGCCTCTCACTCTGCTGGCCGGCACTCTCCGTACCGCAAGTTGCTGTGTGTTGTAGTTAATGTGTGTGTGTGTGTGTGTGTGTGTGTGTGCGTGCGTGCGTGTGCGTGCGTGCGCGTGCGTGCATGCATGCGCGCGCGCGTGTGTGTGTGTGTGTGTGTGTGTGTGTGTGTGTGTGTGTGTGTGTGTGCGCGTGCGTGTGTGTACTAGTCTGGAGAGAAGTACAAGTAAGTAAGTACAGTAAGTACTAGTCTGGGCAACCAAAGTTCAACAGTGAGCCTCACAGTTATTCATACACGAGCTCTACACATACATCATGCACATAGTGTGCTGTAGGGACACTGTCCTGGTCTTTCCTGCTTCCTTAGGGCCGGGTTCCACTGCGGCTCCGCTGCTCCGCTGCTCGTCTTTCGCGGCTTGAAACGTCATCATTACCATAGTGACCGCGGCTCGAGCTGGAGCAGCGAGGCCACGGCTCACCGCGAGCTTTCGTTACGATTCTTGACCAAAAACTGCGAGCCGCTGTCGTGGCTCGACCTGTTTCCCGTACTTTGCATTGTTTTGTACACCAGAATTTTGAACTTCAAATTTTAATTCGTTGCGCAGGCCAGAACACGAGGATTTTTTTGATTTCACGCAGGCAGGTGAAATGCCATCAAAAAGTGTGGACCATGATCGCGGTACCGCGAATGGCGAGTGTCAGGGGAACCACGCTGCTCCGCTACATGCAGCCAAGTGCCGCGGAGCAGCAGTGGAACCCGGCCCTTAGTTATGAAAACAGACCTCGAGCCTTGCTCAACGAATATGCTACACGCTCACGCTTCTAAGTCCACCAGTACATTCATGTACAGCATGCATAGTGGGTACAAACTGTGCAGCCATGCAGAGTACTTACTGCAGCAATTTCACGTTCAACGTCAGCTTTAGAAAAGTCAGCGGGGCCATTGACAACGTAGAATTCCAGACCAGCAAACATTTTTGATACCTGGGAGAGAAGAGAAGGGAAGAGAGAGAAGAGAGAGAGAGAGAGAGAGAGAGAGAGAGAGAGAGAGAGAGAGAGAGAGAGAGAGAGAGAGAGAGAGAGAGAGAGAGAGAGAGAGAGAGAGAGAGAGAGAGAGAGAGAGAGAGAGAGAGAGAGAGAGAGAGAGAGAGAGAGAGAGAGAGAGAGAGAGAGAGAGAGAGAGAGAGAGAGAGAGGACGGGCAGATAAGCAGAGAAAGAGGCAGAAAAATAGCAACATGTCAAATAACAAAACAGCAAAGCAATGCAACGACACAACTCACCATTACGTGTGTTCTGACTGGGTCCAATACTGCAAGTATCGCAATGAGTACTTCATGAGTAAGAGGATCACTTAGTAACATCCTCTACATGGCTTCAACAAAGTAGATTTCCAATGCGGAGTGAGCAAAAATCACGGATTCACGTACAGTGTGGAGTATGCAAGTACGTGGAGCCAAGCCCACCCGCCATGCACGGTGTGCATAACTCAATTTAAAATACAATAGAGGAAAGACACAATAGAACAGGCTAGTTACAGGTTAGTTTTACTGTGCTCAAGGTAAGAGTGTTGTGCACTACTAAGCTCTACTGTGTCACATTTTATTTATTTATATATTTCACCTTCCCGTGGCCAGGGAATAGAGGCCACTATGGAGGTAGGGGGTGATAGCCAGCCATGGCAGTAGCTAAAACAATGCAAATGACAAATTACAAGAGGCAACAACCTAAACAGGACGAGGCAAAGAGAATTTCAGCACACTACTCACTAGCTGCATCCGCTGCAGAGGGGGAAAGAAAAGAAGACATGGGATATAGGACATAGGACATAGGATGCGTAACAGCAAAAATACACACAGACTTACAGCTGTGACATCTCCGACATTGATTCCTTGGAAATGCATGGCAACGGTGCGCGGTCTCTCCACGCGTACCACTGCACGCTTCTTCTTCTTGGGAGACTCGTCATCAATCTCATCCCCACTGTCGATGTGGCGAGACACAAGACGACCACTGCCAGACTAGCAAACAGAACATCATCCGAGAAAACACAAACAAAACGTTTCAAAGGTCAGCAGAGCAGGGCCAAAGCAGGCTGAGGAGCACAGCAGGGCCAGTGCAGGCTGAAGAGCACAGCAGGGCCAAAGCAGGCTGAGGAGTACACTCTAAAACACACTGCACTGCTCAATTCAGCTTCTAGACATGCAGCATACAGGAGATGTGAAGCTGTTTAGCTGTTAGTTTGTAGTCATGTACATGTAGTTACTGGTCATATCAGCAGAGTAAAGATGAGAGTAAAGATGAGAGTAGAGTTGAGAGTAGAGATGAGAGTAGATATGAAAGTAGAGATGAGAGTAGAGATGAGAGAAGAGATGAGAGTAGAGAGTAGGGTAGAGATGTGGGAAGATACCCCAGCAGCAAGGTAACATGAGGACTCTACACAACACACTTGAGAAATGACAAATACTGGTATATAAATACTGGTATTGGCACTTGTATAGACATGTCTTACCTGTTTCAATGCCTGCAGCTCATCTACAGTCATGCATTCATGCCACTCCTTATCATCGCGTATCTTATCCATCCGTGGGAATCGCAGAGTACAGCCGGTGCGAAATCTACACAGGAGAAACACGACATCGCAGATATACACGCACACACTTTCCCTCTGTCTTTCTTTCTTTCTTTCTCCATCTCCATCTCTCTCTGTCTCTCTCTGTATCTCCCTGTCTCTCTCTGTCTCTTTCTGTCTCTCTCTCTCTATCTCTCTCTGTCTCTTTCTGTCTCTCTCTCTCTCTCTCTCTCTCTCTCTCTCTCTCTCTCTCTCTCTCTCTCTCTCTCTCTCTCTCTCTCTCTCTCTCTCTCTCTCTCTCTCTCTCTCTCTCTCTCTGTCTCTCCCTCTGTCTGTCTGTCTGTCTCTCTGTCTGTCTGTCTCTCTGTCTGTCTGTCTCTCTGTCTGTCTGTCTCTCTGTCTGTCTGTCTCTCTGTCTGTCTCTCTGTCTGTCTGTCTCTCTGTGTGTCTGTCTCTCTCTGTGTCTGTCTCTCTCTGTGTCTGTCTCTCTCTGTGTCTGTCTCTCTCTCTGTGTCTCTCTCTCTGTGTCTCTCTCGTGTCTCTCTCTCTCTGTGTCTCTCTCTCTCTGTGTCTCTCTCTCTGTGTCTCTCTCTCTGTGTCTCTCTCTGTGTGTCTCTCTCTGTGTGTCTGTCTCTCTGTGTCTGTCTCTCTGTGTCTGTCTCTCTGTGTCTGTCTCTCTGTGTCTGTCTCTCTGTGTCTGTCTCTCTGTTCTGTCTCTCTGTGTCTGTTTGTCTGTCTCTCTCTCTCTGTGTCTGTCTCTCTGTGTCTGTCTCTCTGTGTCTGTCTCTCTGTGTCTGTCTGTCTCTCTGTGTCTGTCTCTCTGTGTCTGTCTCTCTGTGTCTGTCTCTCTGTGTCTGTCTCTCTGTGTCTGTCTGTCTGTCTGTCTCTCTCTCTCTCTCTCTCTCTCTCTCTTCCCTCTCTTCCCTCTCTCTCCCTCTCTCTCTCTCTCTCTCCCCTCTCCCCTCTCTCTCCCTCTCTCTCCCTCTCTCTCCCTCTCCCTCCCTCTCCCTCCCTCTCCTCTCTCTCCCTCTCTCCCTCTCTCCCTCTCCCCCTCTCCCCCTCTCCCCTCTCCCCCCCTCTCTCTCTCTCTCTCCTCTCTCTCTCTCTCTTCTCTCTCTCTCTCTCTCTCTCTCTCTCTCTCTCTCTCTCTCTCTCTCTCTCTCTCTCTCTCTCTCTCTCTCTCTCTCTCTCTCTCTCTCTTCTTTGTCTCTCTCTCTGTGTGTCTCTCTGTGTGTCTGTGTCTGTCTGTCTGTCTGTCTGTTTCCCCCCTCCCCCCCCCCCTCCCCACACCCCAGGATATGGTAATCAGTGTTACCAACCGCCCGTGTTTGTCCGTATTTTTACGGAAATACAGCCATTTGTCCGCAGCACGGAAATGATCCAGATTCTCCCGGAAAATGCAAAAAAATCGGTAGCACCAAGAACGGCAGATTCGGTAGTATACAGAGTAGAATCTGGTCCCTGGATCTACGTAACTCTCCAGAGTGCGCCGCGACTTTATCAGATCTGGGACGCGTCGATCGACGGCGCAATCCCTGATACACGTTTGACATTTCCATGATTATATTTTGTTTCGTTTCCTCGTGGTGCGCAGGTCGATTTTCACAACTGTTGACATCAGTTGAGCGGTTCACTTCACTTTCAATGTTGGATTTCATTTGACGATTATCATAATTATAGTGACTATGGCGGATTCTGACCCGGATTCTGCTTCTGACCCTCGGCCGCTTGTGGGGGCGAAGAAGAAACGAAGGTCCCTTGCCCAATTCAAGGCGACATGGGTCAGGGTGTTGCCACCTGGAATTGCTGCGAGAAAGAAGAAGGGCATTCACTTTGCTTTCTGTAAATACTGCAACATCGATTTTAGCGTCTCCCATGGTGGATTCAACGATGTCACCAGGCACGTGGATAATCAAACCCACAAAAAGAATTAGTGTTGAAACGATCTCACCGGATACTCGTTAGCTCGCTCGCCAGAAACTCGGCTCGTTTGTGCGGCCAGCTCGTTTGCACTAACGAACACCGTACACCGTACTCCGTACACATGGCAGTACATGTCGACCGGGGAGTCGTAAACTATTTTACGACTCCCTGGTCGATCGAGAGGCCAGTCCCGCGCAAAGTGAAAATCACTCGCAGTTACAGGTGACTGTATGTCTGCACGACACTTGAGTTGTTTCAGTTGTCGTTGCAGCTTTGGTGGACTCTACTGATGTCTTGTTCCGCATCTGCTGACCTGTCGCAGGATATGCTTCGGTCACCTCTCCATTCGAGTGAAAGTTACGCTCAGTCGTTTGGAAGTTTTCTCCCGCGATGCAGCGAAGACCAGGGCTACTTGCAATCTTTGCAAAACGGTCTATTCTTACAAAGGCTAATCGACGACGGCGCTGAAAAGACATCTCGACACCAAACAGCAGTCCGAAGTGAAGCAGCAGCAACCCCAAATGCCGGCGGTGATAATTGAACCAGCTGAAAAAAATCGAACTAATACTTAAAAAAAAATATTCAAAAAAATAATCATATTTGCCACATCAATGAAACTCGTTAGCTCGCTCGATAGCTTGCTCGTTAGTGGAACTGATCGCTCGTTTGTTATAGATACGCTCGTTTCAACACTAAAAAGAATGCTCGAGTAGTAGCTGGCAATACCAGTTTGGAATCGTTTGGCCCGGTTGTTCGAGACAGCTTGGCGACGAAAGTAATTACTGCTGAGATTGCCGTGTCAAACTTCATAGCTCAGCACAACCTGCCATTCTTGGCGGCGGATCACCTATCCGACTTAGTGACGACTATCTTCCCTGATTCAAAGATCGCGGCTCAGTACCAGTGTAAGAGGACGAAAACAGCTGCTATCATCACGGACGCACTGGAACCGCACTATCGTGAACAAGTTGTCCAGATAGCCAAGACAACATCATTCAACTTGTGTAATGAGTCTAATGAAAGAGGGGCAGATGAGAAGCTGCTTACGGTTCTGCTGCGGCTCTTTGATGATGCTGAGGGGAAGGTAGTCACCAGGCACTTGGAGACTGTTGGAGTGACCGATTTTACAGCTGATGGCATCTTCAAGGCCCTGAAGGCCACCCTTGCACACCATCGCTTGGAGTTTGATCGCATGGTAAGCTTTACCTCAGACACGTGCAATGTGATGAAGGGTGAGCGGAATGGCGTTATCGCCAAGTTGAGAGCTGAGCAGCCCAAGGTCATAGACATCCACTGTGCGTGCCATGTCCTCAACCTTTGCGTTAAGTCTGCTGTGAAAAGCCTGCCTTTCAAGGTGGATGACCTGCTCGTGGACATCTACTACCACTTCCGCTACAGTGTCAAACGAATCGTGTCGCTCAAGGAGTATGCAGCATTCTGTGAGACACAGTTCAAGGACATCTTATCCCATTGCGAGACTCGGTGGCTGTCCATGGGTCGTTCCCTCAAGAGAACGTTGGACATGTGGCAAGCATTGTCGTCGTATTTCGCCAGCCACCCTGATGTCGAGAAGACGGGGAAGGTCAAGTCCATCAACACACATCTACAGGCATCGCTAACCAAGCTCATCCTCACCTTCCTGAGCTCTGTCATGGAGACTATCGATGCTGTGAACATGATGTTTCAGTCATCATCAACTGCCACCGTCCACAGTCTGCAAGGTGAAGTGAATCGACTCCTCAAGACCGTCCTCGGCTACTTCATCCGGCCTGATCAAATCACTGCCAATGCAGCAGACCTGACCAAGGTGGACTACACAACAGCCGCCAATCAACTGCCACAGGAGGACTTGTTTGTGGGTGACAGCGCCTGCTTTGCTGCTTCACCTGGACGACAACGAAGGCGAGGACATAGCATCAACATTCTACCGACATGTCGTCCAGTTCTACCAGGCATTCATCAAGAAGATGCTGAAGGCCTTTCAGTTCAAGTCAAAAGCACTGGAACTCCTGAAGATGCTTGACCCCGCCAAAGTACAGAAGATGTCTCTACAAGATGTCCAATCCCTTGGAGAGCACACTGCTGTACCACTTCATCTCGCCAAGGTGCAACAAGAGTTCCGGGAGCTTCGTGTTGATGATGATGTGGCAGCGCTTGCGGCTCGTGTGGTAGCCGAAAAGTCTGGTGCCCTGAGCTTTTGGTTGGGGGTACGCTCGATGAAGTCGCCAATGGGTGAGTTCAAGTACTCAGGTCTCTCCAGCGTGGCATTGCAGCTACTGGCGATTCCAGTTTCTAATGCAGATAGCGAGCGTGTGTTCAGTCTCGTCCGTCGCATCCAGACCGACTTCAGGTCACAGCTGTCAACATCAACGTTGTCAGCTCTGATCTCGTGCCACCTGAACAAGAACGCAAAGTGTTGTGAGCAAACTGTGTTCCCCGAGCCACTCCGCACCAACGCCAAGAAGTGCACAGCAGAGAAGAATAGAGGCACTCCAGCTGCTTCGTCAGACGCATGAATCCCCATCATGGTATTTGGTTTCCAATACGTCCTGCAGTGACTGAGTGAGATCATTGCATGTCTGTTGTGACTTGTCAACCTCAGTCACTGACATTGACTGATTGTATCTATGTTGACACTTTCACCGGTCCATTCTTATAACAGTTGACAGTCTACCTTTGCTTAGAAGATTACCAATCCATGTACTGGTATGTGGCAATGCTGGTAACCTACAAAGTGCTTACACTTTGTTATGATTTTACCCCATCACAGTTGTAATCATTTGCTACGCATGCTAGGTGACCTTATAATAAGTATTACGAATAGGTTATGCTGGAAATCATTCTGCCCTTGCGGCAATTCATCAAAAACTCGAACGAAAAAGACCGAAAAAAATGTGGAACATTTGGATGAGGGGATACGAAAAAAAATGGTTGGAGTACGCAACAGAGCAAAATATTCCGCAAAATGAGATCTGGTTGCACGCTTTCCAGGTAGAAGCAGTTGGTAACACTGAATGACTATCATTCATGTGTATTACTAAAGCTTCAGTAAGTACAGTAGTAGTACAGTAAGACATAGATATGACTCTATCACTACCGTGGACACATACTTGTCAGAAGTGATGATTTCGGCTGCCTTGACCTGCACAATCTTAGACTTGCTGGGTTCAATGTACACATCCGGCTTCATCTACCAACAGCACACATAGCACACACACACACACATACAGCCAGCCACACGCATACCAGCACACATGCACATATACAGCCACACGCATACCAGCACACATGCAGCAGAATGTTGATTCACGACTGCAGCTCTAGGCATCGACTACATTGTAGTTCAGCCTGGAAAAAGCAGTATACCATCTTTTCCCTACCATCTGTGGTGACAGCACAGAGCATAGACCATAGCATAGCATAGTGTATGACTGGAAGAAGCGGCTAGGTAAGTCATGCAAGGGCTATGTACATGTACTGGACATCATTCTCAACATGGACGAGACCAGCAGGTTACCGGGCATCCCGATGGCCTCTCCCCGCAACACCTAAACAACAAGATAACTTGAATTTGACATGCCTAGTGTGTATACTTGAGGAAACCCTTGCTTCAAAGACCACCTGTGTGTGTATGTGTGTGTGTGTGTACCTACATGGCAGTGTATACCAGGACCAGGACCAGATGTGTGTGTGTGTGTGTGTGTGTGTGTGTGTGTGTGTGTGTGTGTGTGTGTGTGTGTGTGTGTGTGTGTGTGTGTGTGTGTGTATCAGCCGTTCACGTCCCGCCGGACTCTCAGGGCCTCATGCCGCGTCCCGAAGACAGCACTCCTTCAAGTCGCTCCGTTTGGGGACACATAGCCAATCGTGGCAGTGGGCGAAGGAAGGAAGGAAGGGAGGTATCAGCGGGGGGGGGGGGGGGGGGAGGGGGGCAATCAGACTCAGGGCCTGCTGGAGAGCCGGGTCAGCCGGGTCATGCGCCCGGCTGGGGAACTGCACGACCTGGCTGAACAGATAACACCGGGTCCAGTTTGACCCGGCTGAAAAATGTCTCAAACTGACAATGGATTCCTAAAATACCGGTATTTTACGACTCGCGGACCCCATCTGTTGCAAATCTAGCGCAATCGTACACACTACACTACAGTCTACAAGCGACAGAAACTCGGCTAGGGTCAACTGGGATCAACTGGTTCGAGCGCGATCTGGCCAGCGGCGAGCAGGAAGTCAGGACATTCAAAGTCGATGGGGCAGGCAATCAAAAGCGTACCTTTGGCTATAGCTTTTGACACAGTTGCAAGTTTTCAGCCGACTGATGATTTGAACGATGGAGCCCGCAGCGAAGAGAAAAAGGACTCACGCTTTCCAAGACTCTTGGAAGAAAGGTCGACCCTGGCTGGACTACGACCATGCCAGTCTATCCATGTCATGCGCTTTGTGCAAGACGCATTTCCAAAGGAAGACGAGCGGTGGTGGATTTGGTCGCGATGCGTGGTTGACAGCAACAGCAGCGCCAGCAGCAGCAGCAGCAGTTGCAACTCCACCAGTTCTCCAGTCTGCTAAAGCCTTTCAGCAGATGGTGCAGCAGATGCCAGTCGGCTTGGCCATGCAGGTGATCCAGTGGCAGCAAGCAGCCACTCCACAAGGTTCTGCAGGCACCCCCCATATTATGTGAACATGTTCGTCCTGCTACTAGCACTAATTAGAAAACAGCAGGGCATAGATTAACGGCCGGACATCGGACATTTTCCGGCCATTTTCGGCCACTGACCGGACGTTTTCAATTTCACCGGACATAGTGTCCGGTCAAAAAAGGAAAAAAAGAGCAGCGACCTTTCGACCTTTTTATGCAGAGTGGGGCTTTCTTCGGAGCTTCGTGCCAAATGCGACTGGCATATCGTACAACTAACACGTCTACACCGTAGCCTCAGGCGTAGACTTCACCATATTTTACTTGATCCGCCTGTAGCAACGCGGTTGCTACAGTCAATTCACACTTTCGACCTTTGGTACATGGTGTCGACTTCGCACTTGAATCGATGGGTTGAACTGCAGTGCAGTTGTTCGCTCTTGAGAGGAAGATGTCATCTTTTATTTTTTCACTCTTTCACCGACCAGGAATGCAGATAGTCTTTTAGAATGTCTTCTGGAAAGCGAAAGGGAGATTCAGAGGACTTGCCGCCGGGCAAAAAAGTCTGTGGTGTGAAGGCCGCTACTTGCGATAAATGGATATCGGACAATGATGCAGAGCTGACTACTTCCGCCTGGCTGATTTATGACCGGCAGAAGAACGATCGGCTGTTAGCAGAATGTTTGAAGTGTTCCGTGTGCATCAAGTTTGTAGACAGAGTCCGCAGTTGTAAAAACTTCAGCGAGGCTTTCATGACCGGATCCAAGAACCTGAGAACATCAGCGTTCAAGGATCATGCTGGAACGGAGATGCATAAACGAGCAATGAATCTTTTCCGCAGGCAAGAGTGTCCCGCTCGAAATGCCCTCGAATTCGCTCCAATTGCGAAGGCACTGTGCAAGATGGACGATGGTGCTGCCGCTATTGCACGACGCAAATTCGAACTGACTTGCCTTCTCTGCAAGGAGCATACCGCGTTCGCAAAATTCGAATCGTTCTGTCAACTCGAGGAGCGTCATGGTGTGAACCTCGGTACAGGTCGAAAGAACCAATTTGCTTGTGCGACCTTTGCGGATTATATCGCTGAGTCCCTGAAGAGGCAGCTGTCCTCGAATCTGAAGAAGTCCAACTTCTTCAGCGTGCAGACAGATGGCAGTACAGACACTGGCAACATCGAGGATGAAGTATACGTTGCCCTGTATTGTGACTCCCATTGCGATGATGGGAAGATCCATGTCCACAAAGTGACATAATGAGTCATTGTGAATATACTTCAGTACTACTAAAAAAAAAGAAGAAGAAACACCCTGAAAATGTGTTGTGGAAAATGTCCGGGCATGTCCGGACAGATTTCAAAACGGAAGGACATTTGTCCGAGCCAAATGAAATCCTTAAGCTATGCCCTGAAACAGAATTACCTTTTTTCAAATTGTTAATTAAATCAGAATCCAATGGAACTGCTTTGCATTCTTCACGTAATGTCGTTTACCTTCTACGTTTGCGGACTTTGATAGTTCGCCTTGTTCTCTAAAATTTCCGATTTCCGGTAATAAATTCGCCTTTCTGTTTTCCTGCGTTTTGAGCAGGCTTTTTGGTTGTTTTTCTGCCGGATGATCTGACCCGGCTTGACCCGGCTGGCCTGCATGCGCCAGGTACACTCTGACCGGGCTGGGTTGAATGTCTAGAGCAGGCCCTGAGACTA